AAATGATGTATTTATAATAAAGGAATATTGTAAATTATAAAAATACTACATTTGATGATTCATGTCTATTTTCTTTATTCTGGTTTATACTAAATGAAATATTAATAAATCTTTCTAAACAAAATAGTTTGATGTGAAGAAAACTAGAAGATTTATTACCAAAATTGTTAAAAAAACACTTCGTTTTACAACTCCTTAATCAATTCAAAATATATTTCATAGTATATAAGTTTGGCATAAAATATTTTGAACAATAATTATATTATACCATTTTATATTTATTATACCATAATTAATTTATCTCATAGAATATTTTTATATTAACGGAATAAAATTTTAAAATTAGATAAAAATAAACCAAATTTTTTATTCTATAATAATTACTTGAATTAAATTGAATTTTCATATTTTATGGATATCATATTATTTTACATGATATAATATGTAATAAGAGTGGGTCTGATAACTTTTGGGTTTACAGAATTAGCTCATATTGATTTTTAAGAATTTTTTATCTATATAAAAAATTTCATGATTATTTAATTTTTTAAATATTGATCTTTAAAAAAAAAAATCTAAATTTCATAAGTTCTTATCAAAATAAGCATAATACTTTCATTATATATATAATCATGTAACAACCTATAAGATTGAAAGCATTATATTTTAAACTCATTAATCAACATTTTATCAAATTCATGATTGTGATTCGAAAACTTGGTATAATTTTTAGAATATCACTTTGTAATTAAATTGACAGTTTACCCAAATGAATCTGAGTTTTCAATTGTATTATGTTTTCTAAACACCGTATAATTCAAGCGCATTTGAGATTCTAAGACTGCGTCGTAATGTGTCCAAACTTGTGTGCATGCAACTACGAACCTGTCCGATGTGCGAGAGAATCAGATGAGTGTGGTGATCTTCGCCTGCACGTCCTCCTTCGACGGCTTTCATGGCTGTGAGCGCTCTGTGACGGCTCACCGCACAAATCCCAAAGGCGCCGGCCACTTTCTGTACCTGCTGCGCTTACAATTCGTACTCGGTACGCTCAGTTGCTCTTGAAACCCACGGCGAAAAAAATCAAGGCATGTCATTCCGCATTGATTCGATTCCTGATGCAACGGCGGCAATCGATGTACCTCGCGGTGTACGGGAAGGAATCGTCGTCCACGAGCTATTTCGCTCACTCTCTCCTACAGACTTGAGGATCACTCGAAGCAGACAGATCGATCGATCGATCATGACTGTTAGTACGTACCAAGTACAAGCATGGCAGACCACGTTATGATCGAGAAGACCACGTGTTCATCTCTTCCACGCCCTGAACCATGCTTATCCGAAGATTCGGACCCAGAAGTATTGAGCATATGGTTAGATACTGATCCATCATCAGTCGGAAAAGCTCGTGAGTTTGATCCGGACTTATGAGCAAGTATGTGTCCACGCTTGAATGACACCGTTCTTGTGGGAAGAATTATACCCTGATCTGAATGATATGGTCATTCTCGCAAGTGGATGAGCTTCGCTGAGTCCTTGGCGACAGTGAGCTGTAAGTTCTGAAGGACGCCATCGTCGAGACTGGCATCGAGAGTGCCGGGGAAACTTACATTGGCAACGAACTGGAATACAAGGTTCTTCCCTCCATACGACAGACCTTTAGCATCTGAAGCAGCGACCTCAGCAGCATCGAGCTGATCTTGGGCCCCGAGTCATCTTCACACTCAATTACCGATCGGTAACCACGCCAATTAAAACACATGATGTATGGCAGCATCGATCAAGCAGAACGGAACGGAGGATTCGTGTAAAAGTGATCTACACGTATTCCTCCATGTCCAAATATTGATTCACCCACAAATGCTGCCCGTAGGCGATGACTTTAGATAGATCACGAATATCATACATGTGATATGATCGGACTGTACAATGTACATTGGCTTCGACAGGGTGAGTGATGCGAATGCTTGATTGATTTGCTGCATACTGGTGCTCAGACTGAATATGTTCAGTCAGCTCCGATCATTATCACCAGGAACATGTTGAGAAACTGCCAGCGGGGTTTAGCCTGTGACGCGACCACTGAAAGCTGCTCTCCGAATTCGACTGAGGTCGATGAACCTATGCAAGATTTGAACCCGAAGCGTAATCCATCCAGACCTCTGAGCCGCAGAAAGGCTGTGCAGTGCCTGGTAGGAAGGGAGCTCGACACGAAAGCACACCTGAAAGTTGCGGTATGAGTACTCTTTCAGGAGAAACGGAACGGAGGACTTCATCCAAGACGTTTCGACTGATCTGTTGGACCTCGACATGCTCTGGAAATGGCTGTTTTTCCCGGGGCTCCGAGTGTTTTTGTGCTTCCAGGAGATAAAATTTCAGAAGGTGCTCGAAGATCCTAAATTCAATCGTCAGCTTCGGAATTTCGACGTTCCGGCGAATGCTCCGGCCGCCCGATCGGCCTTGGCAAGTCAGGCACGAGCTGCGCTGTGTTCATAGTGCTCCGTCTGCTGCAGATTGGATCGGTGCGGATTTTCTCTTCTGGTATCTAAGGGAGAAATATCCGTCGAATAGAAGAAGAATTTGGTTGTCAGTATGAGCAGGTGAATGATGCTGGATTGAGTTGGATATTGTTAAATCTGTTAAGGCAGTGTGGCCTCTCACCCAAGTTCCAATTGAATCGTTCTTCCGAGGTTCCCACATTGACAAATCTGCCTCTTCAGTTTGCTTCAGCACTACACATACATTCACCTTCTCGTCAGGCTACAGAGGACTTCCATCAGTTCATATCAGGTCCTGGTGTGCTGTCAAATGGTCCGAGCATATTTCTGCGAGCTGTATTTGATTTGGAAGGAGTATGTATCCGCAGAAATGCAGCTGCAGGCTGGTTCTCATCCACTGCTGGACAGACTCTCTCGACCCATTAACAGCGGAGATGGAAGGAAGGTTGGAGATCTACGATGACAATTTTGACTGCTAGGATTGCCACAAAAGATTGTATGGAAAGATTGATCGACAAGTAACAACTCACTACTTAGAGTTTAGCCATTGTTCTTAATATTGAGAGCAACAACTGAGATACGTCAATGGGCTTCTAACACCCATCACCTTGAACGCTTCCGATTGTAAATCAACCCACTTTTGTCATTGTTATCACTGCAGCTCGTGCGCGTGCCCCTACCCTGCCATCAGAATGATGGGTTCGCTATCTAATTGCACTAGCATGGAACTGAAAATGCGTTCCTGGTTGCGTAGCTCTTCATACAGCTATTGAGATGTGGAGTCATAGGTAAATATAAAACGCCAAAATATTATGAGATCATTATAACTGTGGCTTGCTGCATGCATCGAATGGACTCGAGAGGCAATTTATTTGTACTTTAATGTTTCTTGTGAACCCTTAACTAAACTTGATATGGCCACTAGCAAAGTAAGTATATTTTTACTTACCTACTTCCAATTAAGGGCTTAAAAATTAACAATAAGCGTGAAAGGTGCACGTGTGCCGGTTCACAGTGCTGAGTATGTGACTGTGGGCTACTGAGAGGACAGAACAATGTCCAAGTGCAGAAGTTAAAACGAAAGCGGAGGTTCTAGATTTAGGTTGTGGTGTAACTTATGCTTGTGCAGCTGAATAAGTTCGTCCTAAGCGTCCTGAACCGAGCTGCACAGGTTCAATCAAACAGAGTGCTTCAGACGACGACCCTGTCGGAGAAAAGAGTCACGCAATGGGGAGAGCTTTTCCTCTCGGAGTTCAGAAGAATGGACCGAGTTGTGTGCATGGCATATGATCGTGCGGTGTGAATCACTTGGTGGCCATCGTGAGCCCTGCAGCCTGGATTTCAATTCTCACGACGTAGAGCCGGCCATCCACTTCCAGCTGTATGAGATAACGAGTCCTCTGCAGTCTTTGGCAACTGATCTAAGCTTTTATTCAACAACCGTCCTCCTCGTGAAGTTATGATGTACCGAAGACGTATATCCCACGAGAGTATCCATCGCATCGAAGGAAATAATACCAAGACTTTCACAACCTGTACTCGACATGAATCACAACGTCACGAGGCACATGATTAGAGCCGTCGATCATAAGACCTCCTACTCTTTACTATGAGCATCGTCACGATTGGGTTGCTAACTTCTCGAATGGTGGATCGTCAATTCTTATTGCCCTCGCTTGGGAGCGCACGGAGGCTTCTCATTCGGGTCTGCGAAATATATCGGTGGTGATTTGAAGGCATGCATGCAGCCGGACAATTGTAGCTGCTCGTAGCCGCCGCAGCAATGTGGTGTACCTCATCTTGCACCCAGTTCCAGTTCCAACATGTAATTTGCACAGGAATCGTCGTGGACAAACAGAAGAATGCTGAATTGGTATCCAAGAAAAGTATAATCAAGTCGGAGAGAATGGATGTTTTGCAGCTCAGTCGTTGTACTTCTCTCTGAGCAGCTTGTTGGATTGAGGCTGTTGCCAGATCCTTTTGCATGAGGGAATGAGGCACACGCCATACTGTGCATGGTGAACGTCAGCGCAGCATCATTCCAAGAGTTCCACGATGTACGGAATTTGAGGATAGCCTGATCTCACTCCTCCTCACGCAGGCCGATTTTGGTACTGCGTGCTGTACAGGATCTATACTTGGACTGGCTTGCTGCATGCGACATGTCCATGGACTTCTCGCCGCCCTTTCTTCTAAACTTTGATCAAAATGCTTCAGGAACTCGAGTCATGGACAACCATATCGATTCTTGTACTGCACTGGACTCGGTGGATGGCTCAATGACAAGGTCAGGAGACAACATGTTCTCCATCTTCCTGGTCACAGAAGAGTTCAATGTTTGATCCGTCACGTTCATGATGCAAAACCTTTCACAGATACCGACGTTCAATGTGCCAATGTGCCAATGAGGTCAGTAGATCCGTGAAGAGCTGAGCGCCAGGCTCGTCCCATTATTGAAGGGCGTGTTTGCATTGACCCCAAACTCACTGACTTTGCTACCAAATGTCAAAATTCCACCGAGCGCAGCTTTCGGCTGCTGATGATGACGAGGCACGTCTTCTCTTCCCGGCCCACTGGACCTCGCCTGTTTTGATTCGCACCATGACCTGCATGTTGCATTGGACCTCCTTATCCGATTCAGGCCCAAATGTATGAAAGCAAATGCCCCTTCGGACTCTCGCTGATCTACCAAATTCTCAATCCGCTGTTCAATCCCAGCTTGGTCAGCAATCCCATCGAGTCGATACACGTCCGGTTGAAAGGGTCAGACTCCAGCTTCTTCATCACCTTATAAAGAGTGACGAAGGGCTGCGTCACAAGAATCAGCCCCTTCAAGTCATTCACTGCAGCTTAGACTGCAGAAATCGACATTTGCTTTCCAGGGCGTTCGTTCGAGGATTTCAGTCGATTCAATGCAAGACCGTCTGAACTTCTTGCAAGCTCTGAATTATACTGTCATGGGTGCTTGAGAGGCTGAGAAGTTGATTGACTCGTGACTTGAGAATTGCGAATTCTTTCATCCCGTCGATCGAAATGAGGAGCTGGGCGAGGCTCGCTCTGGTCGTTGGTCTGCTCATTGCGGGATTTGTAAGCTGATCCGGTGCACAATGCCGCGAGGCTGATAAGCGGGCATTGCTGAAATTCAAGGAGGGCTTTGTGCTGGGCCCAGGCAACACGGACTCGTTCCGGGGCTGGACGGCCGAATCTGCCAACTGCTGCTCGTGGAGAGGCATCACTTGTCAGTGGCCAGACCGCGTGGACGGCTTGATGGTGGGCAATGTGATTCCCAATCCGGCAAAACCAGGCCTATGGCAGGAAGCAGTGGCCAATCTCACCGCACTCAAGGCCATCACGTTCAACGAGGTGCCAATCAACGCTCCGTTGCCCAAAGCTTTCACAGACCGAACAAGTCTCAAATCCTTGGCTCTCTACAACTGCGGCATCAACGGACCCATTCCGTCCGACATCGCCAAGCTCACGAACCTCGAGCAGCTGAACATCAACGTCAATGGATTGCTCGACGATCCGAAGACGGGATTGACGGGCCCGATCCCCGCGGCGATCTGCAACCTGACGAAGCTCGTGCAATTGAGCTTGCAGCAGAACTCGCTCACGGGGCGGATTCCCGATTGCATCGACAGACTGACCAAGCTCGAAGGTCTAACACTGATCAGAAATCTGCTATCCGGCCCACTTCCATCCACCATCGGCGGGCTGAGCAGCATCAGAGCGCTGTCCTTGGACGACAACTTCATCACCGGACCGCTGCCCAGGTCGCTGGGCAATCTGTCGAGCCTCGAGTACCTGGAGCTGAGCAATAACATGGTGGATCACGATGTGCCCCGAGAGATGGCGCAGATGGCCAAAATCGTGGCCATCAGGCTCAGAAACAACAGATTGACGGGCGCCATCCCCAGCGAGCTCGGCCGCATCGGATCGCTGGCCGAGCTGCAGCTCGGCCTCAATCGGATCTCGGGCCCGATCCCCGCAGCGCTGGGCGGCGCCAGGAGCCTCGGCGAGCTGGCGCTCGACCACAACGACCTCGATGGCGCAATCCCGCCCGAGCTCGGCAACGTCTGCTCGGGCCGGCGGCGCTTCTGCACCGTCGACCTGAGCCACAACCGCCTCGGCGGCGCGCTCCCGCCCGCGTTCGTCAACGTCCGGGCGGACCCGCCGGCGGACGGGGGCGAGCCGTTCCTCGGCCGGTTCGTCATCGACGTGTCGCACAACGTGCTCTCCGGGCCGCTGCCCGCGTACCGGGGCAAGGACTTGGCGACGCTCGTCGCGCATCATAACCGGTTCACCGGCGGCTTCCCGCTGGAGTACGCGGCCATTGCCAGCGTGGACCTGTCGTATAACCGGCTGAGCGACTTGACGGAGACCGGGCGACTGCCGGCGAACTACTCGGATCCCTTCGCCCTGCAGTACAGGATATCGGAGCTGCGGCTCGCCGGAAACCGATTCTGCGGCAATTTCCCGCAATGGCTGTTCAAGATGCCCAGCATCCGGGCGCTGGACATCTCGGCCAACTCGTTCTACGGCGCTCTGCCGCCCGCCGCCTTCAACTTCGCGGAGATGACCGAGCTCAACGTCTCTCACAACCGCTTCTCCCGGTCGCTGCCCGGCGACCCCTTCAAGAACAACAGCCGCGGCAGCCTGGTCATGGCGCTGGACCTGCACCACAACGGCTTCTATGGCCCGGTGCCGGCGTCGTTCCTGACCGGCTCACTGTCGCTGGTCGGGTGTCTGTACCTCGACCTGTCGGAGAATCGGCTGTGGGGGCCTCTGCCGGATTCCTTCGCCGGCATAGGCCCCGACGAGGTGCTGAGCTTCGGATTCTACCCCAAGCGCATCGACTTTTCCGATAACTTCCTCTCGGGCCGACTGCCGAGCTCGATCGGCAAGCTCAAGTATCTGGAGTTCCTCGACATGTCGAATAACGATTTCGTCGGCAGCATTCCTGCGTCTTATGCCAACCTTGAGCGTTTGACTTACTCCAACTTTTCTGGAAACGTGTTATCTTAGCTTTGTCCAGTTCTCGTACAAACTCTGCCCTTTCTCGCAGTTCCAACAGCATTTCAGACATTCCAGAGTCCAGATGGTGACTTTCCCTGAAGACTGTGAAGCCGGATCTCTAGAGGCCTCGTATGTCCTCCTCTGTCCCCCCCCCCCCCCCCCCCCCCCCCCCATTTAATGTACTGAACATTGCCAAATGAATAAAACACAAAGGCCAACTGGGACATAACTGTGGAGGTGGGCTATGTAGAGTTGGAAAGTTCAGTCCTACAACATTTGACACGAAGAAACCAATTCTGATTCAGGGTAAAGCCGTTCCGATTTCGTCAGCGAAGAAGGTGCAACTCGCCATCGCAACTTGCACTTCTCATATAAAAGATCAGGAAGTTTCAACACGGTTCCTTGTTGAAGGCTGTGTTGATCGTATTATGGTTCTCGCGATAGTCATTTTCATCAGAACTTGTGTTCAGAACCGGAAGATTTACAGCGAGATGACAGAGCGAAATTGAATTCTGTACAGCAGAATCAAGTATCCAATGCTCGTCATATAGTCAAAAGAATGATTTTCAGTGATTTCTACATGGAATTCAGCTTCCCTGGGAACGATTTTTCTTAAATCTTGCAGGTTTTAGGTCTGTAAACTTGAGTTTTAGATTACTGGACTTTTTTATTTATAGATTACTGAACTACTTTAATTATAGATTACTGGACTACTTGAATTATAGAGCACATTCGTACCTTCTACTGACTTCAACTGATAGATTGTTTGTACTCACGTGGGTAACTCGTGCAACAAAAAATGTGCACGAGTTGACCTTTTCCGCTATTTGTGTTTCCAAAACACTCAGTTTAGATCATTCTCATTTTCTTTGAAGGCGAAACTGTACTCATACAGTCATCGCTACACCAAGCACCTGTCGGAAACTTCAGCGAACGAGAAAGTGTCGCAAGGCATCCGAAACTGCATTGGTCATTTACTTCATACATGTAGACCTTCTGGAGAACACATCTATTCAGAATACCATATCTCGTTCTGATTACTCCTAGACACGTAGCATGACAATCTACCCAGATCAACTGTGAATCAATTAGTGCTCTGGAGTCGCAAAGATGCACTCCTGTGATTACACGTACATTTGCACCTCAATTTTCACCTTTGGGGGAGAACAATGGATAGATGGAACTCCATCAAATGAGCCCAAACAATTACGTGCACTTGATTAACACCACAGACTTAGATTGTAGACATAACAACATTCCCGTAATTAATGGTGAGTAAGAAGTTTTGCACTCTTCTCAGCGCACCTGAGACAAGCATTGTGATTGGAAGCAATAACATTCCAGTCACAATTTTGACGCTTACTTCGTTAGGCTGTAGATTAAAGCTCAGAGATAAGAGTTCACACTATGTAATTTGAAATGGAACTCGAGAAGAATATTGAATTATTGCAGGATTGACTTTTACTCACGAAGAAGACTCAAATCGTCTGTCGGAGTCCGCTCTTCTCCACATGGTACTGCATCCGTTCAGTGCATAAAGTTCTAAAATCTAAGACATACAGAAATCGAGATATACAACTTTCCTGACTTTCTCAACAAATCTCGTCAACTCTACTTACTGAAATCGCTTGTTCATCGCAACGGTGAACAGCTTACACAAACGCAGCTATGACATGCTCGAGAACACGCAATCAAATGCAACTCTCAGTCTCAACGCTACAATGGCTTCGCTCAACAGTTTTACTTGGCAACCCGCCAAAACTTTCATACATAACAACTCTGCCTTTTACAGAAGGAGACACCCACGGACATAGAGAAAACCGCGGCCACGTGAGATCTCAACAAAAACTCTAAAAAAAAGAGCAGAAAACCCACAACTCGTTCCGGGTAGAATTTACTTCCTCTGCAAACCCCCTAATGTCCACGCGCTCTCTGGGATGCAGAAGACACTCACTCGCTACGGAGCTGAGCACTGTGGTAAGAAGTTATCCACAGATGAGCAAAATACATTATTACAGGTAGAAGTAACAAACACTGTATAAGACAGTGTGAACAGGCCTAGCTTACAGCCCTGTAAACTAGAAAGAATTTGGGCAAGCTTGCCCAATGCAATCAATACAACCCTTGCGAAGTTCTCTTCAGATCGACGACATTGGCAACTGCAGGTGTGATCTAGAGTGCCAATTTGCTCAGATATTCAACAGTTCCGAATCAAGAAAACTAGATTTTGTGCAGCAATCTGCGTTGCACGTTGCTAAAATTGCGGACTTCGCAAACAGTAAACTTCGGCCACGTCTTACTTCCAGGTTAAGACATCCGGAAAAGTTATAATGTGGGAAAAAAAAACTACCACCTATGTTTGACCTCCCCGACTCTTCTTTGATACAACGATCAGCTCTTGGTTTTTGAGTGCTTGATCAACCAATTTATGACGTCGTTGATATTTGTGCTGTTCTTGCATGAGATGGTGTAGCAGCAAACCTCTCTGCTGTCTCTTTCGGCAAGCCTTGCCAAGTCCCTGGATTACCCACATATGAAAGTCAAGATCTTAGTACACGTGAATCTTTCGCTCATCGAACTCCTTATCGACCACAAGTTACAGACCCTCCAGACTTTACATGAAATTTTTTCATATATAGCAGAACGTCACAGAAACTTACATCTGCTCGGAAAGTGCCTGCATGGAAAGAGCATTCTCTTTATCAATCTTGTTGCCCAGAACCAGCAACGGGATTCCATTGAGTGACGGCTTGCCCAGCAGATCATGTAATTCGCTTTTAGATATAGGAATGGTGTCCCGATCGGCTGCATCAACCACGTAACTGCGATATGGAAAGGGCCAAATCAGTGAAGCAGTGGCATTACCTTCTACAAACAAAAAAAGCTCGAGACAGGAATGAACCAAACATTGACGGCATGAGGCACTTACACGATGGCAGACACTCCTCTGCAGTAACGCTCCCACATACTACGGAAACGAGGTTGGCCTCCAAGATCCCACAACTTGATAGTTACGTTGCCCTTTGAGACCTTGCGCATGTTGAACCCTACCTGTAACGAGATTACCTCTATCGCGTTAGTTGACATATACCTAGCAAACAGACTACAAGCCCTCACTCAAGTGACATAAGCTTAAGCTTAATGGTGACCTAACAAATCCCGAACATATTCTATCTTGCTTCATAGGAGGTGTCGTCCACATGGGGTCTAAGATGCAACGTAGAAAACACTGGCACAATTGACTAGCTGGTATATTCCAATTCGAGAACTTTATAAGACCGCTGCCTAATCTTCGCCAATCAAGGACTGTAAAGAAAGACGATCATTTTCATAAGTTTGAGACTCCCTTACCGTAGGGATCATGTCCTCAGTGTAGCCTCCAGTCTGCTTAGTCCAACGCACATAGAGACAAAAGGAACCGTAGGTGAGTCAACTTGGGTTTACGCACATTACAAAAGGGAAAATCACACAGCCGGAGGAGGTAAATTTAAAAAATATACTGCCCGACATTCATACACTGAAATATGAACTAACACAAAAATATTAATAACGATCGCTAGAAACAACAACAGCAAACAATAACAAGACTTTGCGCACAGCTTACCGCTATCACATTGACTAATGATGTTTTCCCCGCATTTTGAAGCCCAATTAGCGAGAGCTCCATTTCCTGCTTGAAAAACAAGCTGCAGACCACCCCAAACAAGAATGAGTGTCGAAGGAACAAGGGATTCCATGATTTGGAACAAACGCTCAAGACATGTCATCAGGATGCTCTCTTATTCAGCACATAGTCACGGCCGTGGTCAGCTAGTATGTAGCTACAACGCAGACAGAAAAAAACCCATCTGAGCAGGAACGCACGCAAAGTCCGACAAAGATCAAGCATAGACTGCCACACGGAATTCAAGAGCTCCTGACCGAAACTGCAGAAAACGGAGATGACTAGAAAAAAAACAGGTCCTGTTGACTTTTAAGCCTGACTTAGTTCATATCAGCTTCGTCCTTCCAGCGAGATCAAGGACACTCGTTCTGTAATTAGCGTAGTAGCAAGCTACTACATCTTCTTCCTTCTCCCGGTTGGATCCGACTGATGATCTTTGTAGTTACTTGTATATTATTCAGGATGAGCATATCAGAAAACATCGGTTTCCAAGTTGATACGACAATCCCGTTCCCAAGAATGGACTGAGAAGAAACAAGTCCAGATGGATTCACGACCCGAATTACGAATCGGAAAGCATTTGAATAGAGGTGCGTACACTAGTTAAATACGCTTGTACATCACACAAAGGCTTCGTGAATTTCAGGGCTCACAAAGGAAGACACTGCGTGGACTCAATTCCTGCTGCAGAAACTTGGTTCCTCGACGTATATGCTCCAAGACTGACTGCTCTGAACGGGAATTTACCAGGCAGACCGACAAACAAAGCCGTAGGAGGGACAGATCCGAGTGAACGTTGCACGAATTCCACATCTCTGCGTCCGAGAGTCATGGCTGATCCAAAAGAGTGCGAAAAAGCGAAACAACACATCTAAACATGCAATCGTGCGTTCACTGAGTGCATCTGTGAGACTGCGGACAGGAATCGCCCGATCTCTTCGCCGGAATATCGCATTCCGAAAAAATTTTCTTCGCTCTGGCACTAACTGTACACATCGACGGAGAGCTAATGTCCGAGCACATGTTCCACCGAAGTGAGGATGCAAAACGGCAAGGGTATGCAAGCTGTTCCTTTATGCACGCTTCCACGACAGTCAGAGCGCGAAGCCAGAAGACCAAGCCACCACTTCAACCCAAACTTCCAGCCCTCGAGCACAACGACGCGGCCCGCCATACTTTCGCTCAACAACAAGCAACTAGGTCACGGCACGGGACCTCGGAGCGAGCGAGCGGGAGACCAACAACGACGCAGAACAGGGTTCGACTTGCAAGGGGGGAAGGAGGGGCGAAGCAAGAAGAGGGTTCGGGCGATTCAATCGGCAGTCGAGGGCAGTAGTACCTGCGGAGCCAATTGAGAAAGGATTCCCAGAGCCCCATCGTGTTCTTCCACTATCCCTACACATGCAAAGGGGCAAACTCGGGCGACCTCGTTTCCTCCACGGCTCTGCCCCCGCTCGTATTTAACTCAAGCTGCGGCCTCAAGCTCTGTCCTGCGCCCGAATGAATCTCAGCTCCTCGTCCCTCGTCCCTCGTCCCTCTCGAGCGCTCTCTCTCTCTCTCTCACTCTCACCCTCGCCCGCCCGCCGTCTCTGTCTCTCGACCCGCGGCCCTGCGAACTCCCTCCGGCCTCCTCCGCTCTCCGATGATCGAAAGATCAACAACACCGAGAGGCCCACAAGGCAACCAGATGCACACAATCTCGCTCCGTCCCGTCCGTCCGGCAGAGGCAACAGTGGCGGACGAGCCTTCTCCTGCGCAGCTGCTCCTCCTCCTCCCTCTCCCTCTTTCTCTCGTTCTCTCAATCTCTGACGCTGTGCCCTCGGAGGCACTCGGATCCTCCCAGACACACACACACACACACGCCCAGTAACCAACCGATCACAGAGGCTCGAGCAGCAGCAACAGCGGCAGGAGCAGCAGGAGGAGGAGGGAGAGAGGGAGGAAGGAGATGAGAGATCAATCAAGCACACGACGATCTCGCAAACACACGCACGCAAAGAAAGCCAAATCAATTCCCGGAAGTGGGGACGGAGGGAAGGAAGGAATTAAGGAGATGGAGATGGAGCAGGACGAAGCGAGCAGCAGATGTGACTGGCCGAAGGGAGTGCCGAGGAAGCGCCCGTCGCTCAGACAAATGTATGGTGGCCCTTGCCCAATGGCCTCCCTCGCTCCCTCCCTCGATCCCTCCCTCCCCTCGATGATGATGACGATGTTGTTGCTGCCCCACCACCGATCCCGAGTCCGAGTCGCAGTTCCAGTCGCAGTCGCAGTCGCAGTCGCTCCTCCATCTGTCCCTGGATGCCACAGAAACCCCAATTCCCAGGGTGTCTGCCTTCTCTGTGCTCTACTGGGCCCGGCGCCGACTCCGTCTCGGGCTCGGTACCCGCGTACGCTCTCGTCTCGTCGACCGAGAGTGGGGAGGACCCGACGGATGCCGGAACTCGGAGCAAGTTCGGTAGCTCTGGAACTCCTTTAGCGGAAAGACGACGAGCGTCCGATGGATGGATTGATTGACGGGCCTGGGCGTTGGGGTGGTTCGGATGTCAAACCCGGCCCTTGCCTTGCAGCGCCGACCATGTACATCGAACAGATTCCGGACCTTGGATCCGTCCATCCATCCCTTGGTGAACGTCGCTTATCGGAGTTAACGACGCTGTGGCACCTTTTTCCATCGATGCCCATTCGGCCATCGACAAGCTTGGCTCGTCTGCTTCGTGCCAGCTCGATAACTGTCCCACGGAACACGCAAGGAGCTTACCGGATCTAATGCCCTCCCACCTTCACTCGACTATTCACTTTTGGTAGATTGCAATTCACCAACAACGCTCACGGTCATGGTACAGTAATGCGGTTTATTCACGATTTGGGCCTCACACATGTTCATTTCTCGTCCATGGCCTGGACCTGAAGTGATCAAATCCCATCCCTCGTAAGTCTATAAATGCTAATAACTTCGGTAAAATCAATTCCATCGGAAACACATCTACTAATCAAGAGATCTGAAAATCGTTTCATCTATCTTACATAGATGAACTTGCTGGGTTCAGTTAACTCCAATCCATACTTCAACTGGGGCTCTAATTATTGTACACATGGATAGGTCACATGACTCATTGTATATTTTGAGTGCCAATTATGTTGACTCGTTATGAAATTAGAGAAAGGAATTATGTTACTGCAACCTAGTTCGGCTTATTCAATGGAATGAGCTTTTGTTTGTTTTGCAATCTGAGTAATGCAACACATATTTTGTCGGGAGTGTACAAGTTATTGTGCTTAGACATGTTATTAGGTTTGAGTGTGATCATCCATTGTCATGGGAGAGGGGGTTCGGATTTAGTGGTCTGACAGTGGACCATTTCTCCAATTATAGGATTACGATTATAACTCATTTCCTTGTTTTTTCTAGCTATGAATGTATGTGGAACTATAAAGTATGGTTTTGACACATTTTTTATGCAAAGTTTTGCACACTTCTGATAATGCAAAGTACCTACTATAATACATGATATGGTATCAATTAGAACAAAGTAAAGTCTACTTTAGCCCGCATACTAAGATAGCACTAGGTGATGATATTTGGCTGTTGATGTGATATGTCGAGTGTTTTTGTTCAATCAAAATACATAAATAGAAATATGTCATGAATACAATAATCTTCAAATTTCTTCATTTTGGGTACGATTAGAGCCTAACCCATTGTAAAAATCTTGAACTCATCCCTGTACTACTCGATTGATATTTTTGTACTTCCATTTGTATAAGTGCTTGAGATCCGTTATTTCTGGTTCAGTTGTTTGTGCTCTTCATTTCTAATTTCAGTTTTAGTGTCCTTGTACTACGTGATTAATCACTTCATGTTTCCATACGTATAAGTGCCTGAGATCCGTTATTTCTGGTTTGGTTGTTTGTGCTGTTCATTTCTAATTCCATTTTTAGTGCTTAGGACTGTACTCACTTTTCTGCAATGTACTGAGCAAATTCACTGCGTGGAATGGAAAGCATTTAGCATTGTGCCATTGAGGACGAAGAAGATGAACAATGTGTGGAATATACCAAGGAGATGGAGTATGATGACAAACTACTCAGTGACTTTCCTCACTCACTTCCTTAGCTCATAAGCATGAGAGCAGATTTAATATTGCATGAAATTTTCATTCACAGAGTTTGGGCTCGATGGAAGTCACAATTGTTTTCCGTAACTGGTATCACCTTGAGTCATTCGGTTGACTACTTTGGTTGAGGACAGGACGAGACGAAGTGGTGGGGCTTAGAATGAGCTCTGGGGACGATAGTCATGCCACCCGATCACGAAGAGAAGGAATGAGTCGACAGTTGGTGGCAACAGTGGGACGAGAAGCATATGTGGGGAAGAAACAGCACATCATGTTGTCTACAAAGGAACGCCCGTCTCCTACGAAGCACATAAATCAGTGAATGACGAGGAAGACAATCTGCCAGAGAATAGCATAAAGATGACGCCCGGGTCATCCACCTAGTTCTCAACTTGACAACCACATTGTGGACAGCATAATGAGATGGCGCACATATACACAGATTTTATCCCATGTATGGATGTGTGTGTCAGAGTGACGAGAACGGGTTGAACATGAAAACCAGGAAGTCACCAGGTTGGAAAAGAGATTCAGCCGACGAGAAGTAAGACAAGAAGAGGATGATGGAATGGCATGTCGAGGCAGTTGATTCTTCTATGAATTGCGACTTGAATTACGATGATTTACGAGTTTGTGGAGAACTGGAGGAGACAATCAAATTATCTTTGCACAATTTGATGTTTTGTGTTCACTCGTGTCCCTTGGTATGAAAACAACAGAGGTAACAACAGACATCGACTCGTACTATTTTCAGAATGTTCATCTTTCCTGAAATGGATTTGTTGGCTCTTCACACACATGCATCATGACTTCCTCAGAGATACCAATTCCAGCTCAAGATATCATATATCGAGAGCCACAACCCATGCACACCTCTGTACATATTGCTGTGATTCGCTATTCATTGCACGGGGTTTGACCATACACATGGCACATCCAGGTCAGTCTTATGCAACTCTAGTAGGGACTGCTCACCTCTTTTACATTTAAATTTTTCAATACGAGCTTTTCAGTCACTTGCGCATCATGTCAGCTCCCATGTCATTGAGATGAATTTGAACGTAATCTACCCAAATACTTTGGTCTACAACTGAATCATCATCATCGGAGTGACAGTGTCTTTACAGATCTGTACTATCAGATTTTTCTAGCTTTGCTAGACAAGGTTTAACATTCGTTCCGTCCAACCATCTATCATATTCATGGATTACATGTAGGAGATTACAAAGCTTCTAATAATCCGGTAGCATGTAATTCTTTTCGTTATACTTTGTACGGCAAGATACATGTCTCACGAGGTTATTGATATGTCCAATCATGATTGGACAGTTTTATGAGAAGAGTCATCAAGCTCTTTATATCGCTTCTCGTTCATCTCTCCCTCTCAATTGCCAAATGTAAGGTATTATACGACAGAGTTGATGAAATATTATTTTTATTAACACATGTTGCTCTTTCATAGTACAATATTTTGAATCCGTATTAATTGCGGGAGCGACTAGTTATCCTTTAACTTAAGTTAATTATCATTTACATTAAAAAATTTATTCAAGAAATGATATTTGTAATTGGTAAAAATGTTTTTAATACCCATTGTCAATTGATTTTTGTATTGTATTTTGTTATATAATTTTTTCAAGTGGGTCGTTCAACACAAACTCCACTGAAAGAAAGTCACCTGCATAGAAACTCAACATTTTTTTTAGTGCGGCATGCTCAACATGATGATTTTCGTAGGATGAGGGATAATTAATTTAAATTGAGGTATAACTAACCGTTCTCTTCATAACATAGATAGATTGTCAAAATCTAGTAGATTTTCATACGAAGCAATCACTCATTTTGAAAAGATGTTTTTTTGCCAGAGCTATCCCCACATCTCCTCATCTTTATTGTGGTGGGATGTCAAGGTGTATGATCATATCAAAATATGTACTAATTGAAAATTTTGTGAAGAATTAATATCAGACAAAAGTTGTTCAGGCTTCACAACGTCATGTGGTGAGATTTTTAACTTAAGATTTCAATACGGAAATCTGAAGATTGCCAAGGGGAAGATGTTTTAAATTTGAATAGACATATCAAGATAGTTCACATTTGCGTAACATTTCACGACCACTTTCATACATATCATAATAACCATAGTTATAATATGAGATCTAGAGTAAGCATCAGCAATCTAAGCTTCTTAGGAAGATTCTCCCAATGACACATGATAAGACACAATGAGAGCTATGCATACAAGTCGTCTTATATTTGGCTGGTGTTTAGTTGATGTGATGTGATTGCATCAGTGATTGTTTTCCCCTTCAGGTCGCTTTCTCTTGGGGTGTTGATTGCTTTGTTTTCTACCCCGACCCCTCTAGATCACCTCTAGCTACAATCGTGGTTTGGAAGTGTGTTTTCCTGCTTATGACATGTTTACACTAATACCTCCTTGCAATGCAGGATGAACTGATCACATCCAAACCAAACTATGGTATACAAAGGCCTCCGTCCCGGAACTTGCACCAAAGAGGAAGGTATTCTTCTTCTTTGCCTAGAGGCGAATCCAATCAACAAGTCGTGTTTATTCCATGAGTAAGCGGCATGCTTGGCGCCACGAGTCCACGATTTCACAGAGGAGGAATCCCACACTGATTCTACATGTGGTACCCATGAGATTCTTCTCCTGTTACTTGTACACCTGCCTGATCAGTATCAATTGTGAAGCACCCTTCGGCACTTTTTCCTCGTCCATATGTCGAGTGAAGCGCTGATTCATTAAATTCAGATTATAGTGCAGACCAACATTATTGTACGAAGTGGAAGCAGGTAAATACATGAGGTCGTATTTAATGTTCTAATGGTTATAGAATTTGACCGGGTAAGAGTTTGAACATGTTCGTTGGAAAGAACTGAAGGGAGGTACAAAATGAGATTCCTCAAAATAAATCTCGTCCCTTTTACTTCTCTCGAGGGATGTGTAGAATCACCCAACTCTGAATTTCCATATGAGTAAGCAGGACATGTGCTTCGTCTAAAGAACAAATTGTATTGTACAGTTCACTACCAATAAATTGGCCAAAAATCCCAAAATGTTTCCAATTTTAAATTTAAGAGCAAGAGTCTTGTGCTCCCGAGCTTACAAAAAGTTGTATAGTCTACGATAAATTTCTTCGTTTAAAATTTGCTCATCGCAGAAGCAGTAAGTCCATCTTCGATTTCATATGGTTTTAGAACAGACAATTTGACCAAAGTTGACGTAAATAATAACGTTTTTTGTGTTTTGAAGAAATATTGCACACAACCAGAAATCTTTGAATATGTTATGCAAGATCGAAATTTGAGGATTGGGTCGGGGTCTGAATCTCACTGAAACCCCAAAAAGTCTACAAAGTTTTGTAAGTAAGCAAAGGATATGTATCCGTGACTTTAGTTTGAACAAAAATTATTCTGCAGTCCTTCTCGCACCTATGTATGTGAAATTCACATATCAACAAGATGTCAGGATTTATTCTGCTGTATTTCAAATGCATCTTTATTCATCAGATTTCACCGATATTTAATTATACACCGCCGCTATATGTCTTCAGAATGGACAGGACCTGCACCTGCTAGGTCTTATGATATATAAAAGAATCCTTAACGCTGAAACAACTCGTACAAAGCAAAAAGTAGATTGCGATTCTGGATTCTACTTAATGATTATTTGTACAGAAACTAACCTTCACGAAGGTCCAGATCCAAGTTGGATAAGTTCTTAAACTGTTTTCGACAAATAATTAATATCACAAAGAAGGAAAGAGAAACAAGTCTACCTTTCCGAATTTATGTCTAATTTAGCAACGGTATGTGAAATTGACTATTTATCTCTCACTTAAGGTTAATTAGACTTAACTCTATTCCAGTTCTTCTCTAATTGGTGGATGCAGGGTTGTAGATCTCTCGGATGAGTAGGAATTAGGGTAGGGTGTTCAGAGAATCGGGTATACTAAGGTTAAAGCTAATTAACCCTAAGTGAAAGATAACAAATATTCTCCAATCATTATAGGTTAAATATTCAAAATCTACCATAAATACCTCGATCGTACTTTTGTAGTATGAAGTGAACAACGGAATTATAATGCCGAAGATCAGTGACTAACAAACCACAAGAGGATTCCAAAATCCATTCCAGACTATCGAAAAGTCATGCATAGTCAATGAGCGCATCTATCCATATGATGAAGCACCGAAAGGCTCTCTACCCGTCAGCCTCGCTCATTCTGGATATATCATAACTTCGTTCCATGGCCTGAACCCGAGACATAATTATGTCTCAGTGAGTTGTATGGTGATGCGGGATGAAGAGCCAGACCACAGTTAGTGGTCGGTAGAGGACAAAGCAGAAGAGATTTCTTCGTTCCATGTACGACTGGAAGGGTCTGCCCCTCGTTTGTGCTTCTTAACGGTCCATGTGAAGAAAGCCTTTCGGCGAGAAAGCGACAAAGGGACCGACTTCCACCGCCATTTCGCCTCCCTTTATGAATTTCCTCGACAAAAGCCGAGCCTCATGAGAAGCTAACACAAAAGTACAAATACCTTCACAAGAGCTCGTTGCTGTTCACGTAGCAAGACATGCACTCCCCAGCTCGAGGCTCCTTTCTCCACGTAAGGTTTCTGACAGCCTTCCGCCCGTACAGCTCTCGATGGATGCAAGCCTCTGCCACTTTTTTTGGTTCAGTGGAAGGGTGCGCATATTGGGCAAATATTCTCGGGCTGCAAAGTGAGATGCCCGTTAGAAGAAGGAAGGACAGTACAGTACAGTACACTTCCTTGTTACTATATTCGATTCAGCTGTGAGAGAAAGTTTCTACAGAGTGCGAGGCTGCCGTAGGCTCCCTACCCTCGAGATGAGGTCAGTCTCTCAGTATTCTAAACCTCAGTGGACCTTGGGATGAGCAAAAGTAACCAGAGTAGAGTAGGGAAGGAGATGATGAGTTCATGGAGTTTAAAGTCAACTCTTAGTTGTAATGAGATGGGTAATATTCTGAAGTTGTCCTCATTTGAGGGTTATAAAATTTCATCTCGATTGAAGAAGAGCTTGTCCATGGTTTATAAATTGGTACATTACCCTCACTCTACTCTAGCTATGAGGAAGATGAGGTTCTAACTTGTCCACCCTTGTAGCAGGACAATCGCATCTTTTCAATAAGAATACCTAAACGGTCATATCCAATCCAAAACCGGGAATATTCCCGGAAGTCCAGAGAGCATTACAGTCCTATTTTCCTTCGTCGAGTGGGTTGGTCGAAAAAAATCCAATTATTTCATGATGCGTGGTGAATATTGAGATAGTGTTCATGATATTTGATGAATGAAATATTTGATTTAATTATTTTCTGTTTTTATACCTTTTTTTTTGGAGTATGTACGATATGGTTCTCGTTTCGAAATTAGGGGTCTAGCATTTAGTGTACAGTAAAGTTTTTTCTTTCTTTAGTTTGATGAGATTTTTCTTTTGGACCCTCTCTATTAGTATCACCATTTGTGCACATCACATTGTGCTGATAAGATACAAACTCAACTATCTTTCGTGTGTTTGAATTCTGTTTTAATGTTTACTGGTGAAATCCTTGAACTATTAATTATAAAGTTTGATGTTTATAAACTAAATTGCCAAGCAAAAACATCTTGGATAGATGTTATATCAGCAATCTGTTAATTTTCATCATGAAAATTTTGGTGTAATTCTTGAATTCCCTTCGTATTCTTTAAAAATTAGAGATTGATGTTTGATATGAAAAGTGTTGCGGGGGTTTTTTTAGAATGTTCTTTTCATGGAGTTTTTTTAATCGTGAAAATTCACAGTGAAATGATATGAAGAATATCTGTTCAATTCAAATAATAATGAGTACAAAAGATTTCGTTTTGCATTGTCTATTAATTGATCATGAGAGTATTCTATACATATAAATAAGGAATCTTCTCCCGCTCCACGCGCACTCCATGACTATGGGTTCTAAGGAGACTTCCTCTGGCTTCAGGAAAAAAGCACCTAAGGGTGCAAGACTACAGGGAGAGGTTTCTTTAACGTAATATTCAAACATATTTTGAATATGCAAGTCACCTCAGTTGCTATATGTATATTGCAACACATTCAAAGTAATGCTGCAAGACTTTTGAGATCCGACCTGCTTGGCGTCGGGTTCAAAAGGAAGTGATTGGAATTTCAATAGAAGATCGTATTGCCGACATGTGCAACTTTAAAATTTGATAAATGAATATATGAAGTCTTTTATAAATCAATTGGAGTAATCGCGGTAAGTTTTATGGGCATCATTCATGTGATCTTTGTTTATGAAGACAAAAAAAAAACTTCTTGATGTATAACTGTAAATATATATTATATATATATATATGAACATATTATCTTTACATGATTTATAAGTCGATTATTACAAAATATAATCAAGTATATAATTTTATGTTTTATAATCTAAAGATAAGACTTCATCTTTCTAAAGTTTATAGTCCTATAGCACTCAACTGGCCTTAGACGAAGATGATGTCGAGATTCGTTACTCAAGTATCAATATATGTGCATTTCAATATTAAAGTACCCTCCGTAAGATGGGAAAATTTCACCTCTTCACTTACTTCATTTTGGAATGGCAAGTTTTTGAAAACAATTTATAGACTCTCAAATGAGTCTCATTCAAGAACAAGAAATGTGGGCGAAAAATTGTCATGGACAGTTTTTGTTGGGTGCGGCAGACACTTGACAAATGTGGGGATATTTAGCAACGAGAACGTGTACTACTAGATAAGGCCTAGAATGCTTTGTAAGAAAAATCCAACTGTAACATCAGACTGCCACAATACTTTGTAGACTATGACTATACATATCTGTATTTAGAAAAGCATGGGAAATACTCCAAGGTTTAGGGGAGTTCTCGAAACAGCTGAAAGGTTGCCTTCCTGTTTTTATATTAATTCACTCGGCCCCGTATTACCCAAGTGAAAACACAATGGTTGTATATACTCACAAGACTTTTGGGGTCTTCCAGGTTTTTTTAATCCACTAGGACCCCGTATTACCCCAGTGATTATAGAATGGATATATTCAAGAGACTTTTGGAGTCTTCCCATTTTTATTTTATCTACTTGGGCACCGTACACCGAAGAGATAATACAATGGTTATATACACTGAAAACACAGTTGGGGTCTTCCCGAATTTCTTTGATCCACTCGAGCCCCGCATCAACCCAGTGATAATAGAATGGATATATAATCCGAAGAGACTTTTGGAGTGTTCCCGAGTTAAATTGATCCAGTCGGGCCCCGTTTTACCCCAGTGATAATAGAATGGATATATAATCCGAAGAGACTTTTGGGGTCTGCCCGTTTTAATTTTATCAACTTGGTCCCCGTGTTACCGAAGAGAAAATAAAAGGGGTACATTCAAGGAAGAGAGAGCCTTTTGCAGATGCTGCTGTGAGGTGGGACCCGCGGGATCGACGTGGCAGATGAGTGGATGGTTCTCGCATAAGGGCGACGCGTGGTGTGCAATGCAGGACGTCTGCGTGGACGCTGACGTCACGGTGTCAGGGCTACTCCTTTATCCGAAGGTTTGGATATGCCGAAGCTGCCGCCGACGCAGACGCAGACTCAGCTCGGGCGCGACACCTGCGCCGCCCGAGGCCGCCCCCGGAGAGGAGACGTGATTGCGTGAAGGAATCATCAGCAATCCACTTTTCCCACTAATCTGCTCGTCTCTCACGCAAAAGTGTACATTCTTCTGTCCGTTTGCCCCTTAATCCACTTTCGATCGATCGATCGATCGCTCTCGTGGATTTCTTCCGACCTTCGCTTCCTGACAATGAGATTCGATTCTTCCGAAGACCGGATTTCGGCGACCCAGACAAACGGAGGAGCCATGTCTCAGAACTGCATTCCGAGGGCTCTCTTTCATACCTGCAGAGACAAGAAAGCGTTCTCAGATTATGCTTCGATGGCTTTCTGTAAGAGAATCGATTTTCAATTGACAAATCGAACTATTCTCAAGTTTGTGATCATAATCGCCCAAGAGATGCACGATTGCATGTATTTGCGATGAATCGCAGGCTACTTCGGCATTGGATGGGGAATGAAGTCTCGAGAGGTTTCCAACGAGTCTATGAATAGAGGCTTATGCGATGAAACAGCTTCTCCACAGGATATAACCAAAGTGCATGTTGTTGGGGAACGATCTTTGTCATACTCCAAAAGTTTATTCTTCAATCCTATGTCATAGGACAATAAGCAATGGTTCTTCATCCCAAACGACCAAAGCTCGTGTTGTGTTTATCATGTTGCGAAGGGATGACAAATCATTATCTGCCGCTAACCTTGGTCTCCTGGTTACGGAGAGTATGATGTCATCTAGAATCTATTTGTCTCTACGCTGGAGGTACGGTTTATATCTGTGCAAGCATCGAGGACAACTACATGGTACTAACTTTAGCGATGGACGTAATAGGTGTATCTTAAAGAGACTATGCACCTCCATATTCTTGACAGATGGCAATTTTTTTCTCGTGTTTAACATGTTAAGCACAATCTAATTTGTTATGACTTTCTTCAGAACACGTGCAGAAATATATTATATTTTCCTACAGTACTTTATTCGATTATATAATGGAACATGCTTCTGTAAGCATCGTGAAGAAATGCCCTTTTTGAGAACATTTCATGAATACTGCTGTACTTCTACTGTACAGAACTTGTACAGATTGTGATGATCGATTTTCAAAAATTCATCTGGCGTGAATACAAAGTATGACTTCATGATGCAACCTCCATTTTCCCTACCTTCTTAAATGTGATACACATCCGAGAAATGATCACAGAGATAGCTTTCTGGTACGAGAAGAATGTAGATACAAAGTACGATTCTCATGATGCAACCTCCACTTTCCCTACCTTCGTCATTGTAACACACATTCGAGAAATGGTCACAGAGATAGCTTTCTGGTACGAGAAGGATGTGAAGCACTCTGCTCTCTCTTAATGTGGCGGTCATGCGGTCTCGTGGCCATCGAGCGTCGGGGGCTTCTCGCCAGTGGTCGGAGTTTGAGTTTCCATGGGCGAGGTTTGAGCCCAGTGCCCGAGTTAGTTCGGCAGTTGGAGTCATGATCAGCCGGACAACCTCCGGTCCAACTACTGCCCTCGAATGTCCATCGCTTTGACGTTGCCAGGAAATTCGTCTCCGTCTGTGTTTCGAAGCCTTTACTTGAGCTATGAGCGTGAGATTCAGCAGTACGCAGGGCACTAATCGAACTCTGAGTCCAGGTTAAGCTTAGAGCATGTTATTCTGAGCCTAGAATTCTCGAGGAGCTGCATCCGGTTGATCGTTACCACCGATCCATCTTCCCACAGCAAGTGAGTGAGTGAGTGCATGGCAGACAAGGTCAAAACGAAGTGCACGCAGCCAGTGCCTCCCTCACAGCGCTGCTAAATTCAGCAGTGGGTGATTGTCACAGTCGATCTGAACTGGGAAAGGCTCAAGAAAATTGCGAATGTGACATGGAGAGCACCGGTCGAATACTGTCCGCTGCTGGAGCAGTCTATATATAACTTGCATTGACAGCGAAATGTGGGAGGGCACTTTTCTGTGACAGCAAAGGCCAACGAAGCCCCACACACCTGTCCACATGCGCCCGCCTAGATTCGACGCTAGTTCCAACTCGACAGAACGTGGCTTCGTACGACCGTGAGACATGGGACGCTTCTGATGTCGTCGAAGTACATCTGCTCTTTCCTCAGGACATGGGATCCTCTCGCTTAGGCCTTGAGGCTGTTCTACCGAGAAGTGTCTGGACATGCTCTCCTGGCACTCTCTATCAACTTCCACAAATGTTCTCAACAGATGAATGTAACTCGAAGCAAGTGATGACAGTGATAAAATGAGTTGCACTGGTCAGGGGTTTTCGCGACTGGGAGCTGAGTTGAGGAACATTTTTCTAGGGTAGGCTTATTTGTTTCATTCTGCAACGCAGACTTCTAGTGCGTGTTTGTTCGGAATGCAGTTATGAGGTCTGTTCAATATAGAACAGAATATATCGGAACATTTCTGTTCGCCAGACGTCAGTTTTGGAGGGAGGGATGTCACATCTCTATCATGAAGTAAACGAAAGTTAACCAGGAGGTCGATTGTAAGTGTGTTATGCTGTGCTGATATTCATCCACGACATTCGGGATTCTCGTGCATGACATCAATTGGTATATCCACAGAAGAGGTAGTGGGCGTCACTTGCGGAAGGAGCTGTCTATATGTTAGCTTCTTGAAACGGAATACGAAATCAAGTTATTGAAAGTACAGTTATACAAGTTGGACTTTTCAAGAACAATCATAATTCACATCATAGTGTTGCCCACAAGCTCGAGGATGCAGGATCTAGACGTATTATACTTGCCAGATGAGAAAATACACTATCGCCCTATTTCCAAACTAGAAGAGACGTACAATTAGATAATTATCTCAAACGTTACTCTGCTGGTCGCTCCGGGTAAGAGCGTTCACTTTTCCTCTCGACGGCGCACACGCATCTTACGTTTTATTGCGAGACCATAACAATTGATAAAATATGCTTTTGAAGATTTCTTTCTCATACAATCTTCATCATATATGGATTTTCTATCTCCTATTTTTCACACCACAAATGAAACGTCAAAGTCTCCTCTGCTTGCTTTCATATGCAGCTAGTCCCAATTCAGGCCATAAGCTTGCAAAGGTTTTAATAATTAGCCACAGTGTTCCGTCATAGATTGTATCGCTGTAAGGCCTGATCCAAATCATTTTTCTTAGATAAACCTAAATAGCTCCTGTTTTCTTGTAAAGCAACATCAAAGAACTGATCGTTTCGCGTACCACATGTCCGGTCCGGGTCGCGCATTCGTCAAAACAGAGTTGAAACTAAGTGAGGTATGTGCGAAATTATCGAGTCAACTCTTTCGAACTGGCAAATGTGGTGAACACAATATCTCGTACTAGAACAAAAGCAAAGAAATCTTACACAGCAGGAAGAAACTCTGCATTGCTTCAGTAAGTCCCAGGGGACATCTGATACACTTTTCGACTTTCATAGAATGCACGAGAATGTGACGACAGGTCAGTTTCGCATACTCGTATCAGTTACGGATGTGCCACAGCGACGCTGACCGCACATATCAAACTATGCTACAACAGTGTTATTGGTAGCAGATCCACAAGCTTTGGTCTTCTGTGTAAAACACATCTACCAACCAATATATACTGAAAGAGACTACATTTGGACACGGGTCTGACGAGCAAGGGAGAATGATACAGTGAGGGAAAGAGAGGACCCCTCCCAATGCAGGGGCAATGATACAAAGAAGCTGTAGATTGTACAGAAATATTCGCAACCCGTATCTCCTCAAGTAGTTACAGGGGCAGGTCGCATCGGCCACCATGAAAATCTATTAGACAGCTGCTCTCTCTTTCTACGCCAGAACCAAATCGCAGTGGTGTACATCTCGTTCCTTACTTGTCTTGTGCTCGCCCTCCAGTCAAAGTTCTCTACTTCCTCGCGGCCTGCAGATCCTATCTTTCTCCTCAATTCAGGTGAGTGAAGTAAATCCTTCAGTTTTCCCACACAGTCATCCAAGTCTCCTGGAGTGTACAGGAAGCCGGTCTCGCCTTCCTTATTCACGATGTCAATGATACCTCCTGCTCGAGCACATACCACTGGAATACCGGACGCCATGGCTTCTAAAACTACAAAGCCGAGTGTCTCAGTCTCTGAGGGTGTTATGAAAACATCGGCACTTGCGTATGCCTGAGACAGCTCCTCTCCTTGCAGCATTCCAGTGAACGTGACTTTCTTCCCTTCTAGCATTTTCTCAAGCTCCCCCCTGAGTTGCACGAAGATAAGTAAGTCTCACGAATTAAGCAAATCAACGCAAGACTAAAGATCTTTTCATAGGCTTACAAAGTAGAGGTCAGAGTTTGGGCACGAAAGGCTTTAGATAGAGCTGATTACCCATGCGTTACTTTCCAGCTTAGAATTGAAAGAATCCTGATAGTGTGGCTCACCTGTAAGGTCCATCACCAACGATAGCCAAGTGAGCCTCTGGTATTTTCTCCATTACCCTGCGAGGATAAATACAAAGGTTATAGCCAACTTCCTACTAAATCTGCCGCTCCATCTCGTTCAATGCTAAATTGCAAGTTCAGTAAACATGAAAGGAGAAAGAGGGAGAAAAACTCACAATTTAAAAAATTCCAAGTTCTTTTCCGCTCCCAACCGACCGACATGAACGATTAGAGGAGTTGCAGGCTGACCCTTCCTGGAATTCGTAACATTCTCCACAGTTAGGTATGAGGGGGTAAATACCAAGAGTTTCGACTAAAGTGAATTTTGGCAGCTGAAATCAAGCACAGCTCACAGCTGAATCATTTCAAATCTTGCAGAACAATTGTCGTAACTCCCACATTCCTATCCGGCACTGGCCTCCAACTTACGTCAGCTTCACCCTCATTTCCTGGCTCCGAAAACGTGGATGGAAGCTTTCCGAATCCACTCCCTTGCTCCAGATCCCAATTTTATCAGCTGCAACAGCAAGGTGATAACATTAGATATCTCTAAAATCTCTTCGAACATCAGCGCCGGGCTCGATACCTGTCGGCATGACCTAATAAGCCGCTTTTGTCTTCATGAGACATTATTTCGTTTTCTCATCAAAACCTTTCACTCTAAAAATTTTCACATTAGTATACCTGCTGCAGCACCTGCCGCCTTCAACTCCTTGCCGAGGGCGCTTGACATGACGAGAGTAAGATCCGCAGCCCTATGCAAGAAGCCTGCGTGTTTAGGGGCACATGGTTAACACAGAATAAAGGGCGCGTCTCAACATCGAAGACCAGACAACCTCTTATGGCATCAACCAAAGCGCTACAAATTCATCACAAACAAACCGCCACGTCCTAGACGCTCGGATGAGATTTGAGGTGCAGGACTTACGTATAACCCACCACATCGGTGTAACTAGCCAGCTAAAAGTGTATTTTGGAATATACCTGCAGAACATCGGACAAATCAAATTAGGAAAACAAACTCAGTGAAACAGAAAAGTCCAGACAAATAGAAAACAACTGAACTTCAGCTTTTTACAAGCTTTGAGACACCTTTGAACCTTTTATACAACTGTACAATATCAACACGCAGAGCGTTAGACCCAAGATAAACTTCAACTCCAGCCCGATGCTTACATAGGAACATGGGTATGATATGACATGACAATTGGAACACTCAAGAGCTTGGCAATGATCAACGCTCCAAAGACCTGTAAAATGTCAGACCATAAAATGAGGCTTTTAGTGTCCGGAACTGCAGTAAGTAGTAATATTCTCAACCAAAGTACTCACTAACAATGGCTAAATCTAATCACACAGATTACATTTCGATAATCGTAGGTCAGTTCTCAAATGACCAGGCTATTCAAAGCCTACAGTGACTCGAATGAAGTAGTCCATTCGAGTTAAAATTCTCAATAGACAGAGATCCTCTTTCCGACTCAAGTCTGCACGCAAACTTTGAAACAATCACACGGCAATCTCGTAAGGCACATAAATCATATTACGGGTGGGAAAGCATTACCATGACTCCTGGTGACGATGCGTGAATAATGTCTGGCTTAAAGTCGGCTACCTCGCGGTATATTCGGGGGCTGAGAGCCAAAGAGAGTGGAAGTATAGTGTACAACGGACATCGAAAACTGCATACAACGTCAAAAGAAGGTTAAGGCACCTATACTGCTGTTCAGGGACATCAAAGCAGTGTGACCAGAATGAACTGAAATTCAAAAGTAAGACAAAACTTCGCTGATCCCTTTCTCCTGCAAAATCTGGCAGTCCAAGAGGAGTGTCGGCAAGTGACTGATTCAATCTGCGAGATATAGATTGCAAGTACGTAAAAGCTACCTCCACGATCCGACGACCTTCGCCCCGCAAAACTCCGTCGGCACTCCTTCGTGTGTGGTCACGATAAGCACCTACGAAGTGAAGAACATCATTGAATCAAGACATATACGAGAGCGACGACATTGATGGCTCACTCAGCTGAATAATATGAAATGCTTTCACCAAGACAACTATGAAGATAATCGAAAAGCGCCCTATCCTTGAAACGAGAAAGGTGGAGGACAATTTGTTGTTAATATTTTGTACCTCATCGCCCATCTCCCGTAAGTATTTTATGAAATTCTGAAACCTATTTTTGTAGCCGCAAATGTACCTGCCATTGCAAAGAGTCGTGTTAGTTCATACGAATATCCATCAGAACTCGAGGAGAAGTCGAATCGGAAGGGCGACATTTTTCGGCATAATGCAGAGACCTGGTTTCCAACAGTCCAAACTAGTTCGACAATTTATTCAGTCCTTAGTCTACCGTGCAGTAAATGAGTGTTTGAAGTTGCAACTCAAGCCATCCTGATCTATCTACGTGGCAAAGCTCAAAGGGAAGCGAAGTGTAAAACCCCTCCTTAGTAGCAGTCTTGTGACAGCCCAAGTTTAGTACCAAAAGCTGAGAACTATGAATGTGCGCACAAGTCTCTAAAGAATTACAAAAGAGACAGTCCTGCCTTCTCAAAAAGTTGTTAGAAAAGCGAGGAATACAACCAAAACTTTTCGAGCTTAAAGAAAATATTTCAGGTGGATAGAAGGGTAATATAGAAACCCATCAGTTATCCAAGATCTCCACACTAAATGCTTGTTCAATCTGCGTGAGAGGGAAAGGGGGGAGACATGACAAAAACTGCTTCACTTGTTATAAACTCAGTGCTAACTATTAAAAAGAGGGGAAATTACACTCGGGAGAAGGATATGGGCAACCTCGGCTTCGATAGTAATTTCCAGGTTTTGGTATCTGCTACGTATGTTGGCCCTGAATTTCCACTATCTTCCGCGTGAATAATTCCTTGCTCGAGTTCTGAGAATGACACAAGGTTCAAAACTTGGTGGGTGGAGTAATCTTCAAATAAACTTCCTGATTATCCGAAGGGAGCTGAAAGAGCAGATCCTCAAAACTCGAGGTCAAACTAGAGGCTGACGAAGATACCATTTAGCGGTATGCAGAGAAAAGGTACGCACACTCTTTCTTCCTCAAATCTTTTAAAAAGGACATTCTACTCAGAACAATAGCAGGTCGAGAATGTTCGCCACGGTCGAGTCTGTTTCTCGGTTTGGACTGAATTACTTATTATCAGCCTACATGTGCAGGCAATTGACAGAGAACGGTGGGAAATAGAGAAACGGGATCGGAGACTCCAGATGCCTGACGATGAGAAAAAAAAGAGGCAGTCCCATATCGAAAGCACTCGGAAGTAGGCCCGAAAATCACCAATATTCAAAAGAGTTACGCTGGGATGAGGAACATACGCGAATGGAGAGGGTTCGACAAATAAGGCGATGCGGCGGGGCTGGTGAGCCCATTCCCTAGCTTGCTCTTCACGCTCGCGCAGCTCAGCGGCAGAGCTGGAACCGGGAGACAATAACGCTTCTTCGTCGGCCATCCTACAATTCACAACTGTTCTGCTGCGCACACGAAGTGGCTGCCTTCTACTGAGAGAGAGTCGGGTCACACCAATCGAACATCTGGACCGCGAGGAGGAAATTCGACAGCGCGCGACGTCATCTGCTGCACGAGACGGCGATGCTGCTAAGGGCACGCACGGGTCGGGGATTTTTCGGCCTCGTCGGCTGCGGACGGAAGAAGCAGAAGGAGCTGGCGCCAAGCCCGATCCGCACACTGCCCCATCGCGCCAGCGCCGGCCACCAGCACCACCAGCAATGCCCGAGGCCACAGCAGGCGAGCGTCCGAGCGCTAGAGGAGCATCCCTCGGCACATTGACGGCGGGCGCAGGCAATTTAAGCGTCGTCCACATGGTGCAGTGGACAACACTCTTTCGAGCTTCCCCCCCACTCCCCGCCCGATCGGCCCACCCCGAGAGACAGACTGACAGACAGGATATACTGATTTCCGGATTTATCTACTCCCCCATGCTCCAGTCCATCGATTGCTTCTCAATTCTCCCTCTCTCTCTTTCTCGATCGATAGAGCGCTTCCGTCTGCGCCCCTGCCCTCCTCCTCCTGCTCCTCCCCTCTCGCGCTCGCCAACCACTGTTCGGGCCGCCGGAGTTACGTCGTCGTCCGCGCGCTCCTGTTTCCATGAAGTACGAGGTTCGCCTTTATTTCTTCCCCCGCCCGCTGTCCGGCCACCGGCTCGGCCTCGCTTTTCGTCCGGGGCCGCACCGGACGCACCAATCGCGACGCGCCGCTGCCCGCAGTGCCATCTCCTGCCCTCCTGCACCTTTCTTCTTCCCAGCGCCGGATCGCCCCGCGGACTCCATCGGTACATGCCGTCTCTGGCGCTGCGTCCGGCCGAAAGTGCCCCGAGCCGCGCCTTCCGCACGCGGTCTTTCGGGCGAATATGCCGGACGTTCATCGTAACCGCTACCGCTACCGCTGCGGCTGCGGTCTGCGGTCTGCGGGACGAAGCTCCCCAGACTGCCGCATCTTGACCGACGTCCGTCGTTCTCGTCCTGTCCATATGTCAGCCGCCACTTCGACCCTCGACCCTCGACCTTTCTGACCTCGAGTCACTCGCAGCCCGCCATCCGTCGACCGGTCATCCTTTGCTCAGGCAGAGATCCGCCCTGCCTTCCACCGCTGTAGTCGTTAGAGTCGCTGCTGGGTTATCGCAGGTCCCTGATAGGACCCCAGCTTCTGGAAGAATAGAATATTCCCAGCATCTCGAACATGCGGTTCCGCATACGGATCTACGACAAGACGTTTACTTTACTGCACCACAATTCGCTGGCATATACCAACAAATGCCGCAAGAGATCCGTCACGCACAGACGATTGCGTCAGGGAAGCGCTCTCGGGTGGGGCCAAAGCGGCGCCAGGTCGGACCGTGCTGGGAAAAGCGAAAGACAAGGATTCCATTGGAGATTCTCGGTTCTGGAGATACTCTCTCCAAAGTTAGCGCTGGGCGAATAGGGGCGTCGTGTTTCGGGCGATGCCGGGTCGGTAATCTCGCCGAGATCAGCCGTGAATGCTGCGAGGTGGCAGATGCATACTGCCGGCGATTTCAATTGTGGGCCAGATATGCCGAATCGATGCTCTGAGGGTGATGTGGCATATCCAGAGCGATGCCCGCATATGCCGCCCGTTCTCGGGCGAGCCGAGCACGGGACGGTGGCGGGTGTCGGTCGCGGGCCCGGGTGTTGGCAGCTTCGAATCTCGAAGCAGCTCGTACGAGGAAGTGCAATTAGAGAGGCGAAGAAGCGATCGATCGACAACGACATGCTCGTGCTGAGCATGCCGATTGATTTCAGTGCCTACCTTTTTCTCGTTCTCACGCTTTCTCGCTTTCTAAAGCCATTTCCAGATCGTCTGGCTTCGATTCAACCTGGCGCGACCATTTTAATAGCTTATCCGGATCTAGTGCCTGGTGATTCGATCCGTGAGCAGACGCAATGTGAGGTGATCAAGTTACGGGCCAAGGTCCTTCGCACAAGAAAAAGGTGCTCATATCCTTCGACCCACGGCCATAGCAATTAAATATTTCCGTAGATGTATTCATTCCTTCCCTGTAGAGCAATAATGTGTGTACATGAAGATCTACGGCATAGTCCATGCACATCACACGTAATATCCGTCCTAGTAGGTTAAGGTGCATACACGTGTCAGACGACGAGAGGTCATGGCGGCTACATTCTGCCCCGTCTACAACTTACCATTTTCAAAATTTTACAGGCGATAATTGTTGTCAAGAGTTGCAAGTATATATTGTTTTGATAATGTTTAGTGCACTTCACTATTTTATCACTTTTTTAATTACTTTCCATCTCTAACATTTTTGCGGCATTATTGACTGATCCCGAAGGTTAATATTATATATATATATATAATATTAATATTAGTGCATATATATATATGCACTCACACGTTGTGAGAGTTGGTGCCTTGAAAAGCTTTGGAGAATATATATATATATATATATATGCACTCACACATTGTGAGAGTTGGGGCCTTGAAAAGCTTTGGAGAATACAGAAGGAGCCTTCTCGAACAACTACCGAAAGAAAGAAAACATGGTCTGGGCCATGGGTAATTGCAGTTCGTGAGGTTTTTGTAACATCAGCAGCAATGGCAGACATGAACGCTGGACAAAATGCATCCCACATGCTAGAATGGATGACGAACTGACCTCTCTCGATCGTTGGATCCGTTCGTCTCAAGTCAATGCTTCAGCGATGGAAAAGAAACTCGTCTAGTGCTCCAAGCCCCACCCTCCCTCGAGGTACACTCCGGCAACATGATGTGCAAGGACACCAGGTCCCTTCTCGAGCTTTGTCAAAACTTGGGACGTCTTTCCAGACGTGGAAAGTTAAACATCATCTCATGGTGCTGGGCAGTTTCTTCCTCTCAGATGACAATTCTACCGGCAGGTGTAACACCCCAGAGGTCGATTTTTTCGATTACACACCAACTTTATGAAGTTCGTTATGAAGTCACTTTTCAACTTCAAGTGGTTGGTATGAAGGATCTCAAAGGTAAGGGCAATAAATCAAGCCCGGGGGACCCGAAGGATCAAAAGGCTAAAAGGAACACAAAACAATCGAGCAGTCGTAATCAAGGGGAAAACCCCCTCTACAGCGGCGAGAGCATTAGAGCGAAGATTGATAACATCACTAAAGTAGCAACCTAAAACGTAACGCTCGAACTGCAGAAAAGAATAAAAATTCTTCGCAAAAATCTTATGAGCCCTACTAATATCCCTATATCTAGATCAAGTAAGAAACATATGATCTTCATCTTCTTTATTCCTGCTCTCACTTCTGTCAATGTGATGCCATCGTCCTTCCTCAATATGTAAACTGAGAGATTCCGTTCGATGACGTGCAATAATATGACATAAAAGAGCAGAAATCCTAGCAAGAAGATAGAGGTAGAGGAAGAATGAAATAGTCTGTCACAAGGTTAGATATGAACTCCTCCAAAAGCCCACCTGCCATAGCTCTTATAATAATATCAGTAAGGTCAATTGAAGGGGTTGTGGGATTTCTTGCCTCGTGTGGTTGGTTGTCATCTTTCGATGCTCCAAGCTGTTCCGAGAAAGAGAACACAAGTTCGACGATGCAGTGAATCTCGTGCTGCTGCTGCTGCCTCCTTCAGCACCACGGCTTGCAACCTACGGATCCCTCGTGCATGAGGATGGGCATAAGCTGTCATCTCCCCGCCTCCACGAAAATAATTTGAACCTCCCAAACTCGAAGAACAGGACAGAGCGAGCATCGAAGGGCCTTCGAAGTCTGGACAGGTGCACGAGTTCGGTGAACGCCGCTCGACAATTGCATTCGATAGTTGACACATTGACGAGAATCCTTTCGGCCCGTCTGCTGCCCTGATTCATCGATTCACTGCCAGAACGATCGTAGTCGGACGAGGGAGCGAGGGAAGCAAGGAAGGAAGGAAGGAAGGAAGGAAGGGGACGACGAAAGGAGCGAGAGGGGCGAGGTCGTGTGTGTGTGTGTGACGGTAGGGTTTGGGGGTTTTGCGGAAGCATGGCAGCGACAGCGACAGCGACGCGCACGGAGTTGGAGAATGTGGTGTCGACGATCGATGAGGCCAAAGCGAAAGTCGATCCGGAATTGACTTGCAGCATGCAGGTGGAGTATCCGAGCGAAGAGCTCGCCAGGATCGTCATGGTCACTCTGTCCGTGGATGCCGAGCTGCAACCTGACAAGGTGGCCAGGACGATGGAGGTCCGAGGAGGCCGCCTCTCCATCAGCTTCAGAGCGACGGACGCTAGGTTTCTGAGGGCCTCGTTCAGCTCGTTCATGGACATGCTGGTCTTAGCCACGAGAACCATCGAGGAATTCGGCCCATCTTCCATCCACGCAGCATCCGCGTGAGCGTGCTCCATCAGCCCCTTAGAGCAGACATTACTACTACGTGGCGCAGCTTGTGAGCCTCGTACGAATTTTGACCCCGCACATGAATCGACGAGAGTATTGACAATTTTTGTACTTTTGAGTGCCCGCGATCGAATGAAGCAAATTTCTCACCTCGATGGTTGAGTTTACCTCGCAAATTGTCGCAAATTGTCGCCAAATTCCCGAGATTCTGCTTCCTTGCTGTTCCATGTTCATGCTTCGAGAACGACGAAGCAATTTCTGACTTTGCTCGCCATCTCAGAAGCCCGATCGGCCGAGTGACTGACTGACTGGCAGACCGACTGGCCAGGCCGGTCGGACGCCAGATTGGATGGAAGTCACGTGAGATATCTCGAACTCCGGCGCCGCTTCTGAGCCCAGTTTCTCTTCTTTCCGTGACGGAAGCAAGTGTTCGGTTGGAGACCGTTTGAGTCGTGCACGCCCAGCACGTACAGCTGTCGGTGGAAATCCACGGTTTGGTTTCGTGCATCGCTGCGCGGTTTGCTCGCCTCGATGATTTTCAACCACCGCCGCCCGAGCTTCTCTTCTCCTCTTCGCTGCTGGAATCGAAATCGGTTGAATGGACTGCGTTTTCTCATCAACCGATGCTGCATCAGACATTCGAATCGAGTTCTTCGTGCAAGATTTTCCGACGATCGCCTGGCTATAGGTCAATATTCGATTTCTGGATGAATTTCCTCTCTTTGAGCTCACGCATTGAGAAGCTCTTCGGGCTCGCCGTTGATGTATGTTCGCAGCACTTGCCACGCCGATTCGTGCCGTGCTCCCTTTGAGTGCGCGAGTCTCTATCGATTGAGCGGGAATATCGTTAGGTGTACCAGTTACATTACATCCGCAATGGTTTAGAAGGTGAAACGGCAAATCTGCTGGCTCCGGTCTGAATTTGAATTCAGTAAGATTCGTGCAAAGGTTGACTGAAGCGCCATTGAATCCTGAAATTCTCAGTCCCGCGGAAGCTACCAGTTTTTGCTGCTTGGCAAGACTGCACATTTGCCTGTTCGCCTTCTGGTCACTGTCTTGTGAACATACGGCGAAGAATTGCGAGTGATGCGCTGGAAACGGAGATAATTTAAGACTTCGACGGATCTTTCCATTGTCAGTGTTGGGTCTCTCTCCATACCTTTGACGGCCGCAATTTGATCGAGCGGAATCACTTCGTCCCAGCTCAAGGGCCGACCAGCAGCATGCCTCTATCATCTCTTGCAGATGCTCCGTCTCTCATGCGACCTCACACAGGCAGCTCTCTTGCACTAGGTTTGGACCGGCTGGACCTTGAAGCACCAATCAAAGCATATCATCACAAAACTTGCACATCGTCCACAGTCGTTTTGCATTGCACCTTCCAGCCATGAAGTAAATACTTTGCGCAGCATCAGAAGCCTAAGAACTGAAGAGATCAAAGTACATTCTGTAGCGGCATGCCTCTGAAGTGTAACAAAACAACTCAAATGTAATTCGGATTAGAGCTGCTGGTTGAGTTCGTGTACTAAGGGGCATCTCTATCCAGATCAAAGCTCATGGGGGCCCTCCGAGGGACAGCTGAGTCGACGCAGGATCAAGAGCCAAGCATCGATCGATTCGATGTTCGCCGATGGTAAGAAGAGGGGGTGCTCAGGCAAATTTCAGAGCAAGTGAATATTGAAAGAGGTGCTTACACGAACGTAGCTCTTGCATCGAAGAACGCAGAGGGGGGCTCTGCAGGTCCTGAGACAGTCAGCACTTGTTTGATTTTGTACTGAATTTCGAGGTAAGAGTGGAGAACACGCTAACTGAAACTGAATATTTGGCTGTCCAGAAGCTGAATTTCGACTTGGAACAGCGCCAAGCTTGGATCTCAGGGATATGAAGTTGGAGGCTGCGTTACAAGACCTTGGTTCGAGACGCGAGTCACCACCATCACCACCATCGGCGTTGAAAATGGACCATGGGAAGGCGCCAAAGATGTCCAACAGGAGGGCAGAATCCTTGGCTGCTCTGCTGGGCGACCAGATCCTCGAAGCAGATCTGAAGTCAATAACCTGCTCGTCCTCTGAAGTGACAGACAAAGAGCTCAGGTTAGCCCTGTCTATTGTAGCTCTGTTTCTGGAATCTTGCTGACTGTCTGCTCAAATTTCAGGAGTGATGCTAATTATCATGCTAATAGCTAATGTGCTTTATACCTCGCTGTCGGCTTTTGATCCACCCATCATTCTGCATATTGTACGAGGCTACAAATCACGTGATCTCGGTTGAAATAGAAGGTCGAAGGAGGTTTCGGGCAGTTTGACAGCAGTTGTGCCTGACGCCCAAAAGAATGGTCCCCAACTCTTCATTTCATGTTTTTCAGAGTCGGATCTCGAAGTAAACGACTGGCGTTCATGGACCAGCAAATTGGGCACCCGGCGGTGGACCTGTTCGAGGACAATGCTGAAAGAGCTCTGTTGTCCCCAACAACTGCCGTGAAAGGAGAGGATAAAGTGATCCCTGAAGCTCCAGAAAAGGCGGGTATTGAGACGAACTTGTTATGTGTATGTGGGATATATTCGTTTCACATCTTGTTCTCGATTTAGATTATCTGCATTCCTGACTAGATCTGAGAAATTCGAGGAAGTGAGTAGTTACTGCCATGATCTTCTTCTTGACATGGGCTCAAACGGTTTTCAGCCATCTATGACTTGAAACTTAGTGCTTGATCCTTTGTTTGGTGTGCTGAGGTGACTAACGTAACCAGATTGTGAAGACAAGGGTTTACGTATTTACCAGACTAATGTAAGCATGTATGGTATGATGAAGGATGATGAATGGGGAGCAACAGATGTATTGAAGATGCTGCCAGATGGAGGAGACATGTCTCTCCAAACAGAAGCGATGGGAAGCGCCAGTAGAAGCAGTATGAAAGATTTTTTTGCAAATATAAAATCGCCCTCAAGTAAAAAGGCTGATGTTGACATGCCCAGTGAATTTGGAGAATATCAACCCTCGTTTCTTTCTGCTCCAAAGAGGATCCCACTTGCGGGCAGAAGGAGAAGTCCGATTAAAGTCAGGAGCTTTCCAGAAGCCACAGAGAGCTTGGAGAAACACCCAGAGGCACCTGTGAAGACCACCTACAAGGGTACTGATCATTCAGACGTAGGTCTTTGGTATGAAAAAGCCGGCACAAGATCAGACGCGGATTCCTGTAAAGTGAACGAAGTTTCTGGACATGCAAAGGGAGTCGAGAAAAAAACTCTCTCGTCGGGAATTGCGTCTGCCCCTGTTCACTTTGCTGGAGACATCCACTCAACAAACGATATTCTTTCACTCGAGTTACCAACCACCCCTTCACACCTCGAGGGTCCTTCAAACCTCGGACCCGACATTAGCAGGCCTCTCGGCCGGGTTCTTGACGGGGATTCATTCGTGTCCAAAACCCCATCTGCTGGAGTTTCGAACAGGAAGGAATCCCCGTCAAGAACCCGGCCGATTTTCTTTGAGAGCGAAAGAGACAGGTTCGTTGAACCTCAGGAGGCGTTGGAATATGAAGAGCATTTCAAGCAGTTATCTCTGGGTATGCACGACTTGTGTTAGAGCACTCTCTCTTTCATTATGAATGTCATTTGTCCTCAGTTCGAGAATCGTGTGTATAGTGTCCTGGTCTTCCTTAGGCCACTGGTTTGGCAGTCATCAGCTTTCACTTGAGATTTACGATTTTTCTGATCAGTCATCAAATAACCTTCATTTAGAGAAGTACGTTGAATACAGATGAGATGATTGTCTGAGATTTGAAGTTCTGAGTGTGTTTGGTGTTCAGATTTAAGCATCATTGAGCAATTGCGTCGGGGGGGTACGTGTAGTCTAGCCTAGATCTGACCTTCATGCTGGTTGTTACCATTTTCGTGCGGTGGCGTTCTTCGTGGATGGTACTTCGTGAGTACTTGTGAAAACTTAAAAGTCTTCAGGTGTAGAAACCCGTAGTTCTGTTACACCCTGGACGTCAAGCTTAGTGATTCTTGTGATTGTTTTTTATTTTTGTACAGGGAGTTCTTCAGAGAAAATGGCCAACATCAAGCTTAGTGATTCTTGTGATTGTTTTTTATTTTTGTACAGGGAGTTCTTCAGAGAAAATGGCCAACAACAACACTCCTCACCCAACAGATTCGAACCGCATTATATCAGCAACCAATATACCGCATGTTTCAATTTCCCAGGTGAGTTGAAAAGCACGAAGCGAGAATACATGTAAATCTTCGATTAATTGAGGGTTGTGGCCTCAAAAGCTGACGAACTGTGTAATTTGTATTTGCCTTTTATAGGTTGAGGACCCGCAATTATAAAAAAAACAACTATGTTCGGAAACACGTGAAATTTGGACTCTCCACTCCATAGATATAGCCTTGAAGTAGTCACGTATGTAACCGATGGCCTTCGGAAGTAAGAGTCATTTAATAAACGATGGAGGCCTGGACGTTCTGTACAGTGTCAACACGTAAATGGTCTTACTTGTTCTGTCCTTTCGTGAAGGGATTTCAGAATAGTGCCGAGATTCAACGGCCTGCTGAGTACACGAAAGATGAGGATGGTTTGAATGTGAAGGAAAAGACCTTCTGTGACTTGCTATTAGCGGAGAGGAATACACTTCAGTCAAAGCTGGATATTGAGAGAGATAAGTTTTTGAAGGAGAAGGAAACACTTCAGGTGAGATTCAGCGAGGAAAGCCTGCGTTTGCAGAGAGAAATACAACTGCTGACGTGTGCAAACGAGAAAACCAAGGGGCAGAGAGATAGTCTAGTAATAGAGGTATCAAAATTACGTGAAGAGAATATGTCCTTAAAAGACGAGATACTGCGTGTGGAAAACGAACGGCTTGCCTTTGAGAAGAAAACATATGAATCAGAACAATCTCATCAAGACATATTGCTGAACAAAGTTGAAGGAGAAAGAGAAGAGGCTCAGAGACTTGCAGCTCAGTTAACATCTGAGGTTCAGCTACTCAAAAGCAGTTCGTTATTAGCAGAGGAGAAGATGACTTATTTGTGCAAACTGCATGATCAAGAGGTTCGCACTCTACAACTGGTTGGACGTTAAAGCATCACAGCTCCTATTGCGCTGGCTTGTTACCGTCTCTGTTGAAGTACTGGTGTAGTCAGAACATAATGTATCAACTCACCATATCTCTCGCATGCAAATTCTCGTTTGGAATAGGTAGTGGAACAGGAAGAAAATTCAGTTGAAGTGTGCGGAATGCCCAATTGTTCATCATTTTGTTCCCTGACCACCAACAAACTCTCCTAACGCTTGTATGGACTTCACCTCAGCTCCAAATGATGAAGACTTTGCATCGCCAAGAGCTGGAAGTCAAAAGCAACCAGTTTGAAATCGAGGTAGAACATCGGTTTGACATCATCACTCATTAAGCTACTTTTAGAACATTCACCTTTTGTATACCAGAGTAAGCTTGCTTAAAAATTTGCAGCATCTGCTTGGATTACATAAGCTAAGACGTGACTTCTTGTCTGAAGTTGGCCCTTGAGCTCCTGACTACTACTGTCTACGCAAGAGTGACTACTTTCCAGTCGTAATTTTTCCGATTTACTGTCTTCAGAAAAAGCTCTGGTCTGATCATGAAACAACTATAAATACGGTGAGAAAACTCCTGGATAAGGGAGACGAATGGGCATTGAAAGTGGATACACTTCACGGTGTGATTCTATCTGCAAGGGAAGATACCAGTAACGACAAGACTGTATGGGCGGGTCTCATTCACGAAACCGTTGATAAAGGTCAAGCCGCGTTACGAGAATGGGGCGATCATTGCAATGGAATTAGAAGCCAGGTTCGTTGCACTCTGAACTTCCTTCGAGCTCTGCAATTCCTTCCCAGCGAGATCTCGTGGCTGATGTTGCCATGTCACCTACGAAGCCTAAGCACCGAAACGTTGCATCTAAAGCGTCGTATTAGGCAAGCAGGGTGGTTTTGCTTCCTTCTCCTAATTTATGTGGAGGACTTTTGCATTCGTAATATCAGAGAGAGGCCAAGGGAAAGCAATTTTCTGCCCTTTGCCGTTCTTTGAGCTCGCCTCCAGCGAAGAGCGGGAGCCTTAAGGCCCAGTCCACACAAATGAAAGGAATCTCGGAACTGTGTCCTACTGCGTACACTGAGCTTATTCTCAGGCGGTGCGTAGGATATTTTGGACTTGAGAAGATTGATACATGATATTGTCCCAGCTCTTGTTTCTGTTCCCTTGTATTTCCTCACATATGCACTCTATTAACACTTTCGTTCTCTCCTCTTCGAGTTTTGGGAATAGTCTTAGCATGTATCTATAGAACTCCAAATAGGTAGGTTTTCTCACTGCCGCCAAGTATGTACAAAATTGACACTAAAGTTTATACTTTGCTCTCTTTAAACAGTTCGATCAGTTGTTAGCAGTCCTCGAGACAGGTGGCCGAGAGATCAGAGCGATGCATCTAGAAGAAAAGGAGCGGCTCGATACTGAACATGCTCATCTCAAACTACTTCAGGTATGTTGAGATCCGTACTTCCACTCGTATAACATCTTATCAAGTCTATTGGGAATTTGTTTGCATGACGGTTACGTAACTAGGTTCCGATTGAAGTTATTCATTTCAACTCTTGCATTGTAATTACGTTGCACACACGGAGGTCAGACATTTCTTCTTAAAATGCTTTCTAGCTTCTGTATGTTTTCTTGCATTGAACTCCAGCGATGTATGTATAGAATGAAGGGCAAAATTCTTTTCTTACATTTCGGAGTGGCTAATTGACTAACCAAGCAAGTGCGTCTTGTTAGCATGGACTTTAGTGCTAGTTCGGATCCGTACCTTGGTGATGTTTCTGAGCTCTATTGAAGTACGTCCTAAAGTAGAATTCAACGAATAGATCTGTGAAGATTTAGTCCGCACAGAACAGCTAAAACTTGCCAACTAGGGGCCATCAAGAAGCTGATAAGGTTCAGGACCTTCAACAGGAAGCTCTTCAAGAGGAACGCGCTCAGTCTCTGACAGATCTTGCCGCTGCACATGAGAGACTGGAGGGAATGCGCAACCTTTGCTACGTTGAGAAAGAAAAGTTTTTAACAACCTGTATGCAGGTATCACAATGTGCTTTTGTCAGCTTAAAAGTGACTCACTCAGCTAGTTTTAGATCTAAGCTGATAACGACACCTGGTGGTTCTGAATGTACTGCCAGACGAGTTCGTCGGGTAGCAGTCGTGTTGTGTTAACACTAATTGCACATTTGTAAAGTTATTATCAAGTGTGATCCAGCGGGATTAAGATCCCTCAAGATTTGCAACTTGGCGGAACTTGACTTGCTGGATCTTCATTATCCACTGCAGGGGATGTGTACCCCGTTGCATCTGAAGTATGATGCCAAAATCTTGCATTCAGGAGAGTCATATTCGAGAGCCATCGGGACACATTGTCCAGGAAATCTGCGAGGCTTTACTCAATTATTTCGAACGGGCAGTTTCGAAATTGGGCAATATGTATCTTTAGTTTGTCAAAGTTTAATCAAGCTGCACACATATCTGAAAACTCCATCAAGCTCCCCACCGTTTTGAAGACACTTCAAAACAGCAGTCACTCCCGTGGGCAGTCTTGATAATGAAAATTGCGTCCAAAGTCCCCCAGCTCTGCGCAACTTGAAGCCAACTAAAGGGTTGGATTTGCGTTCTTCTAGTTCACGAGGACATGAGAGATGATCATCTTAAACCTTACACGCCTGGAGACGTGTGATTCATGAGACTTTAAGATTGGTTTCCACGTTTCAGGAGATTAGAGATATCTCTTCTGAGAGAGAAGAGGTTGTGCACATGAGGGAGCAGTTACTACATGCTGAAGCAGCCCTTCAAAAGCAGGTCATGGAGCACGCTCAATACATGCAGGCCGGTAAAGGTCTTCTTATATTCAGGTCTTGCCGGCTGGAATGTCCTATGTAATTGAACATAACACTGGCAGTACAATCCCCAGTCAAGTAACTGCAGAACGCTTACTGATATTCGGTAATTCCGAATAGACAGCTGTTTTGTGCCATGTCTTTGTCAACTACCGCTTGTCCTAGTTTGTTTTCGCTACACATCACCTTCGGTTGAATCTTAGCAGTTTCATAACGATAGGACACCATAAACGATCATTAACAGCTCTTTGTACAAACTAGAGGCTTCGGAGTCAGAGAAAAAACGAATGGAATTAGAGCGAGCAAAGGAGATGGCTGCTGAAATTGCTCATGAAGTGGAGAATGCTCGACAGGAGCTTGAACAGCAACGCCAGGCATTCGAGAGAGAAATAGCCAGTATACAAGCTTTTGGTTTGCAGGTCCTGCGCTGGCCACAGCTCTTGTTCTGCTTTGTTGTCGGTGTCAGTATGGCGACTGTTCTAGTTGTGCTTCTTTAACCCTCGGCGATGGATGAAAACAGGCGCAGCAGAAAATTGATTCAGCTATTGAGATTCAACGGGAAGCTGCGCAACTCAAGCTTGATGCAGAATGTATCCAGCACGAGAGTGCTCGTGAAGCCTGTGAGATTGGAAGGCAAAGGATTCAGGTTGGCCATGGTTGGTCAATAATATTGCTCATAGACTACCTTAGTTTGCATTCTTGCAAGTCCAGACTATGTAAAAGAACGTCTCGTGACAAGAAGCAGTACGTTTGCTCGTGTTGAACATTTTGCTACCGAATAGTTCCATTCATGAGCAATAGCTCTCTGGTACTCACCCTCAACCATGTTGTCAGCATTAGCATTAAGGTTAGATCTTTCTTAGTAACACGTCTCACAGACAGTCAGAACTTCATTTGCAGCACGTTCCAACCCGATTCAACTCGAATTAAATAAGATCTACCACATTACCCCCAACCTCAGTCAATCCACATCCCAGATATGGACGACACCTTGGATAATGAACTGCAGCATGGCGTACTGGTCTGACCTGAATTTCTCATATCAGCACTTGAAATACAAACTTCTCTAGTGCTCGGGTTAGTGCAGATGGCACTTGGATTGATTCTGTATTTAGAGGTTACTGATTGATGCTACTATTTTTACCTTGCTAAATCTTGATGCCCACATGTCAACTTAATTTAATCCTACTTGCAATTTACTACTCAGCTTCTAGTTTAATATATATAAATTACTAGCTACATCCTAGTGAACTTCGTCGTTCACTTAATACAGACACGAGATGTACTCACAAAAGTTTCTTGCAAGTCGAGTGTAACATTACTTTCTACAACAAATAAGTGTGAAGCTTAGTGAACTTGAAATCTGTGAGATGGAAGGCATGAAGATCTGCACTGCGTAGATTTGAAATCCCACGAACACAAGTTGTATGAACAGTGGTACATTTTTGCAAACATTAATTTTCACGTTGAGCATCGTGCTGAAGTTTGAAGTTCTTTACAAGTCCAGACAGCGATGGCTCAGAAAGAGCTGTTGGAGCTAAAACGACGACATGATGAAGAAAGGATGAGGCTAGCTATGGAAAGACAACAGCTGTGTGCCGAGCGGAAAGAGAATGACATCTCTTGTGTTTTGAGAGAGTCCAGGGCCTCGGAAGGATCTGTCTACTCGATCTATGACAGCAGGTCGCATGTCTTCGACCTCAGCTCCTGGGACAAGATGCCCAAGATGAAGCAAGCAAGACAAGTTGCAATGGTCCCCACACGAGCTCCACACATATCCAGCAAAACTAAAAGTTCTCTTAGTTCAGGTCCTTGGATCGTAGAAAGTGTTGAGGTACAAGCTCCTGTCTCTTAATACCTCCAGCTTTTACTCACTGAGAACTAGCATCCGAGATTAGCATGGTCTGAATCGAGAAACGTGAGCACGACATTTGGACTTTTAAGTACACATATCAGATTCGTCGTCACGTTGGAACACTATCCTAGCATTTGTTCAGGAGTGAACCGACGCTTTGAAGAACTGATTATGCGTGGGAAATCAATGGCAGGCGTCTTTGTGTCTGCAGGCTCAGGAAGATTTCTTAGCGGAGGCTAGCAGAGTGCTGCAGCATACAACTCAAAATACCACCAGTCTACTTACTAAGACCATCACATGAGATTCTCAGGCTTCATCCGAGAGGAATTTTTGGTGGTCATAAGCAGTAGTCAGAATGGGTTTGTCAAAATTGAAAATGGCGAGGTGATACTCTTGGAAGCTTTCAATCTTAATACGGGTGGGTAGTGCATGCAGCAGTGTTGGTATTGGACCTAATCAGATCGTCGTCACTCCTGAGCTGAAGGTTTGACTCGAAGCTAGCTTTACTTCAGTTGTAGTTTACTCACATGTTATGTGTATACAAAATTTCAGTATTCAAAGTTGTCAGCTGTCAGCTTTCATCAGCCTGGTCTACTTGCAAAATCATCTTTGGATGCGTTGACTTGCGTCTATGCTGTTAGACAATGGCATGCAGTAGGTTTCCCAAGAGCTAACGGGAGTCTTAGCCATGATACGACTTGAAAGCAGACTGAGCTCAACGAAATGCTAATGTACCTATCTGAAGTGTTTGAAGTTTGCATTCCTTTTGGGATGACGCCAGTGGCCAGTCGCGGACGCTTGACCTTTATCCCGCAAGATCCTTTTTCTCCGAGAATCATACATTCTGATTCCAGTATCCTCGTCTATGGCTTGTGTATTGATATGGTTCCAGTATTCTATGTCTTCCACCTCAAGATCGTTAATGAGATGAAAGAGCGATATGTCGAATGAACCTGTTGACAAATCTTCAGTTTTCTCCCCTTCTCTTTCTTTTGCCTCTTGTGGAGGATATGCAACATCACCTTCTGTAGGTGCCGGATGATCTTCCTTACGAGGAAGACTGTTAGTGGTGTTATAGTCCAAGGATGATACAACTGGCCTGGCCTCAACCTGGACCTGTATTTTGGTTGAGGTTGGTAGACGTGTATTTTGATCATTGTCAGCTCCTGCCGATGCGGAAGACAAATATTTTGGACTTCGAAGAAGTGCCCTCGATGTAGAACACTTTCCACACAGGGCTTCCGCTACCTTCTCCTCTGCAACGCTTTTTCCTTTCACAGATGTGATGACTTCAGGTTTCATAATAACTAAGCACCCGGCACATCTTGCAAACTGATCCAACGGGCGCCTCCCAATGGGTAGATGTATGTGACATGCTTGAGTAGATTCTGGTGTCTGCTCTTCTGTCTCCTCAGCTTTGTCATCGGGCAACTTGTTCAGATTGAATTTTTTCTTGTTGGACTTCGGTTGCTTCGACAGAATCTCTGAAGCAGTCGATTGAATATACTTGGAGCACCTTATCAATTCTGCAGCACACTCTGCGTTCGAGCGAATGAATCTACCTAGCAAATCTTCAACATTAGCAATCACTTTTTCTGTCTGCATGCCTCCCGGTTGTGCATAGACGTCATCGATGGCTACCTTACCCTTCTCACCAGACCACTTGCCATGCCTGGGCGCCTTACGGCCAGCTGTATTGACGTCTATTGCCGGAGTTCCTTCCACATTCTTATTTCCCGGTTGTGTACAGACGTCATCGCTGACTCCTTGTTCCTTCTCACCAGTCCTCTTGTCGTGCCTGTAAAAATCACAGCCAACTGTATTTACGTCTACTACCGGAATTTCTTCCACATTCTTCTTTCTCGCTTGTTGAGGCGGATCATTGCTGGCCACATTGGATCCCAGCTCCAGTCTTCCTTCTGCTGAAGCTCTGCATAGAGTTTTTTCACTTATTCCACCATGACCAGATTTAGTTTCAAAAATCTTAGCGTCCACAAGCGAAGAGCATTCTAGAGACTCTGAATACTCGGAGTCCGATCGCAACGAACTCTCAAGTTTTTCATGATTTACGAGGAACATCTCACATTCACTATCTTGGACGTCTTCCACCTCATTTGCATCTAATTCTCCTTTTCTGTTCACAACTCTTCCTTTAATAGAGCTGCCTGCTTTCGGTTGAATCAGGGGAGAGCTTCTCCTGGAAACATCCATCATAGAATCAGCACTTGATTGTGGTGAAAGTGGACAATCTTCAACACTGCTAACACAGGTCTTGATCCTCGATTCCGATGCCTGCTCGTATGCCAGAGAGCCAGTGACGAATTCTCCGCCATATTTCACACCGACATGTCCAAGTGATCGAGTTTCTTTCAGATAATTTGTAGGCTTTCCAGATCTGGAAATCTTTTTCTTCCCTGAAGGCCACCTGACGTTGTGAAATTCCACCACTTCGTCTGCGCTCAAGTAGTCCGTTTCTCTTTTACTTGATTTACCCTCTCTGATTGATCTATTTGCAGAGTTTCCGTTGGCAGGGTAGCAGCATCGTGCACACTTGCCGATAATTCTAGAATGGGAACATGACGAGTGTCTTGATGTCGAGGAAGCATGACTGTCGACATCATATTGGCATCTTCGTCTTCTCTCTGCTTCCACCGAACTCTTGGTCCCATCTCCATATCCCGATATGTCACTTAACAGTGGAGAGGAACATTTGACACATCTGTGTAAATTCCGGGGATGCGAGTTTGACGAAGTTCTATGCGTTGCCGAGCCGTAGCTATGTGAACCTGAGATGAGCCCGTGATCCTCATCTGCAAGACAGATTCTCTGACCGATGCTTCCAGCGTGAGGCTTGAGCTGATCACAACCAATCTTATCTTCCGTCGTGGCCAACTCATGGGTAGACTTCCTTCTGTTCATCTGGGTATGACCATGTCTTTCAAGTTTCTTCTTCGAACGAGGTTTTGAGCATCTGGTACAGACGTAATCCGTTGAAGTCTTCTCGATCTGAATCCGAACACCTGCAGTGTCATCATCTTTCGCTCGAAGGAAAAAAACCTCGTTTTCAATTTCGGAAGCATAATAAAACTCTCCTTCTTCTCCTGCTGTTGGATCAAAACGCATCTTCTTCCTACTGTTACTAGATCTTAACGACTCGTCTGATTCACCCGAATATTTCTGACACGCAACCTCTGGGCAGTGGATAAGCTCATTTGGCCTGACGTCAGTATGCAAAAGATCACTGTTGTGAAGATCAGACGCCAGGGGCCTTACGAGTTCCGGATCTGAAGAGCTGGACTCTTGTTTTTTGCCTGGTGGTCGATCTGGAGTCACATCAGGATCGGTTCTCTCTCTGAAGTCACGAGAACGTAGGCTGGTCGCTTCATTATTTTTGTTCAAGATGTTAACAACCAGGTCTGGAAGAGGACGGGGAAGTGGCCTCCTTCTTTGAATCACTGCTTCCTGCTCAGTCAGGTGACAAGACTCCGCTTCAAGTCCTTTAGAAGACGCCTCAGGATCCTTGTTCTCTTTACCCCTTGCTTCAGCACTCACAGGGACATCTGTCGTTCGAAACTCGTCATACAACCTCTCATCCTTCCGGTCGGCCTTTGCAAGGGTGGTTTCCATCTCTGCCGGTGACGCTGCAAGTTGATCGCTGAGTTCCTGTTTCACGTCAGCTACGTCCATGATTTGTGACGGCACGTGAGTGTCTGCTTCGGGACATTCTGCTTCTCTGATCGGAGTGAGGCTTGAAGCAGTTTTATCTGCTTGAAGAGAGACCTTCCATCAACACCCGGAATGAGTAGAGCCCAAGCTTTATAAGGCAGCCGATGAGCTTGAAAAGAGTTTAAGTGTTGTGAAATACGTTCACGAAGGCCACAAATGGAAAGCTATTGAAACTTTAGCGCCAGAGCTACTGCAGCAATTTTTCATTGATGAACTCATAAGCCACACGACGGTCTATTCATTTATAATGGTAATTTCCATGTTTGAAGAGCTATTACGAAAGTCTGGACCGAGCACCGAGCAATACTACCTTGTGTCCTTGAAGCGGGGAGAGAAGATTCTGCATCCACGCAAGCTTTAGTCGCAGCTGTGCAGCATGTTGGTTAAGGTTTCAATCAGGAGCTACAAAGCCAATTGATGAACACGGTTCATAGTCCAGTGCTGGCCCACTCTTAACTGTCCTCTCTGGCAAAGGGTGCAGGCAATTGTTGGTAGTTCACTTGTTTACTTTCAAGCAGAAAAGTCTCTACTCGTGATTAATAGTTCTATATGATTGGCTGTACACAAAGAGCCTTCAAACGTATACACTATGCTGGCACTTGAAGTCTAGGTAGAGGAGGCCCGAGATGAAGGATATGAGAAATCTCAGCTGCCATTTCTTGATTCTGCTCTCGAAGCTTGCTTGTGATCGACTCGTGGGAATTTCGGTCCTCCAGCAAATCTCTCAACCTGTGAATCTCTCGAAATGCCAACAGTACCTACCGTAAAACGCAGCAGCCATAGATTCAGCTCTTCCCCGAGAGGCATAAATTAATCGGACAGGACATGATGATCCAGACGAGCCGAACTCGACAAATGATGTCTAGCGAAATATCTTGAAGGATTACAGCGCGTTCCGAGTAGTAGCACTTGCACTTCATCCACGGGCTTTTGCAGAAGTCGCGGGAGCCGAATTCACGAACTTCAGAAGTTGGAAAAAAACCTATCCCAGTCGACGATATGGCCGCCATGCACTGAAGCACAGAGACCAACTCGAGCTCTGCGGTGCAGTGCACGGTGACAACATCGAGACGGACATTGAGACGATCGACTGAGAAAACGAGAAGTTGGTAAAAGATTCCGAAGCGACGGATCGACGGACGCAGATCGAAGCAATGAGCTCACTTGGTTGATGAGTCTGGCAACCTTAGCTTTGTCTTCGTCACAAAGGTCAGCGAGATTGGCTCCCGCTCCCGGTGCACCAGACTTCTCGGACTCTTTCTTCCTCGCAGGCGGGCGCCCCTCGACAGGAGACGCATCCAGCCTCAAACTTGCGAGCGAAGACTCCAGAACCATGACTTCGAATCTCACCTCTCCAACTCGGCGCTCGTCGATCTCCTCTTCCGCCTTCCTGCACCTGCAATTGCAATTGCACTCGACACCATTCGGCTGCACGATCGATCGATCGATCGATCGAACGAGCAAACAAAGGCAAGAACGATAGAAAGGAATAAAAAAAAAAAGGAATTCGGAGGATGCGACGGAATCGGCGATGCGGGCAATTTCAGCAATGGCCGAATTCAGCGACGACTGCGCTCGTCGGGCAAAGAAGTGGAGGACGAGCCATTTCTTCTTGGAGAGCTTCCTCGTCACGAAATGTCACGCTTTTGTCAGTGCGCGTTCACACCGGCAGCCCACATCCTCATCATCCGTTCAAGTTTCTGCCTCAGGTTTCGCTACTGCAGTTAAAATGTGATCACGGTCAGTAGCCGACCCTCGGCCCCAGAGTCTCGTTCGAGATCTCTCGTTCGATGATTGTCACTCATCCTTTCTTCTGCTTCCCTTCTCGGTCGAAGATTATTATTTAGTTTTATTAGGAGGAAGGTGGTCGAAGATTATTATTTATTTTAAGTAGGGAGAAGGTGGTCAAAGATTATTATTTATTTTAATCAGGGAGAAGGTGGTTGATGATTATAAATTATTATTTTTAGGGAGAATATGATCGACGAATTTTATTTAGTTTTACTAGGGAGAAGGTGGTCGAAGATTATTATTTGTGTTTATTAGGGAGAAGGTGGTCGAAGAATATCATTAATTTTTTCTAGGGAGAAGGTGGAAGGTGGAAAGAAGGGTCCATGAAGTCTCACTGAAGTCGAAAGAAAGAGAAAGTAGGCAGCACGAACATTCTCCTCGCACTCTGCGTTTCTAGAGCTCTTGAATTTGACGTTGATTTCATCGCTTTACCTTTCCCTTTGCCTTTCTCCGATCAGACAGGCCAGAGGATTAGTTTGGATCAGGTGCAAAAGGTCTTCGAAAAGAGCCACTTCGGTGCCCTTTTTAGATGTGGGTTTTTGAAATGTTTGTCCAAATGGCATGAAGAGTCCAAGGGCACATTTGGACAAGGGAATAAATGAATAATTCAAGTTTGCTTGGGTTGGTAGAGGGTAAGAGAGGGTTTCGTTAACTTGGGTTAGATTAGTCATGGTTGGTCTAGATAACTTGTACTAGTTTTCAATATAACTCTGTTGTGTTTCCTTTAAGTAGTTTAAAGGAAATATGTCGGATGTGAATGTTTACGTTCGATACCATTTTATGCGTTTACCGTATGGAAACTGAGACATAGAATACCACTAGTCTTCTACTAAGCAATAACAAACATAACAAAATGGAAAGAGTCGGCTCCATCCTGTCACACAAGAAGAGTGAGGTAATATCTTGGATTACTTTTTGACCCGTATAGCTTGGTGACTTAACGAGGAATCTTAAATCTAGGAGCAATATTAACATGTTATATATATCAAAGTCAAGAGGAATCTACTTAGACTTCCGGAAAAATATAGTGAACAATTGCATGTTTCCTTCTCATGTGGGTGCGTGATCTCCATGTTTATCACAGGAGAAAAGTACATGAACGAGTAAATATAAGTAAAATAAACAAAAATTGTAAGGCATGACTCTTTATTTAAATTTGGGAAGCTAAGTCTTTAAAATTCATGTTAACCAACCTTTTTGAGAGTTGACACTAGCTTATGAAATCAAGATTTTAAGATTTTATGTGCTCAAGGGAGGAGAGAGATTATTATACACATGCCATAAGTAAGGAGCTTTCTCACACCGAGGCAACGCAACGAGCTACAGAGGCACTGAAAAAAGAGAGAACCGCGAATCATCTCGACGATCCAGTAGAATTAATTAGATGGATGGTAAACACTGGACCAGATTTAGCGAAAGACTCTGGCGGGAGCTGGAAAACTGCGCCACAGCTAGAATAATGTGCTGGGTGAGCCTAACTCCCGCTTAATTTAGAGACGATCCAGAGGTATAGCTTGATATAGGGTGAAGGATAGAGGAGATTGCGGACGGACGAAGACTTTGTACGTACATCCGACAAGCAGCGCCGGTCGCTCGCTCGCCGGCTCGCGGATTGGCCCAAGCGTTCGGCTTTTGCTGTTGCTTTCGAGGCCGCGGCAGCCGGTCGCAGAGCGAAAGCGGAGGGCGAATTGCGAGCGACGCGATTTCTCGTTCGAAGAAGGGAGGAAGGAAAGATTCGGATCATGTTCCTTGGGCGGGCTCGATGGATTCATCGTGTCTGATGCTCAATTCGAGGATTTGGAGTCGGAGTCGGAGTCGGATTCGAAGCTGCAGCTGGAGCTCGAGGTGCGCAGGTTTTATCGAAGAGGGAACACATTGATTGATTGATTTAGCCCTGACTCTTTCTCTCGCGCTCGTTTAGTTTCGAGAATCGAGATTTAGGACAGAGCTTTGGGTTGTGATGAAGCGAATGTGATGGGCTCGTGGTGCTGAGCACTCGGATTGATTGATCGTCGGTGGTCTGGTTGGCGTGATTGATTGATCGTGCTCGTGCTCGAGTCGCCCGCCGTGACGAGGTGAGCGAGAATGCAGAGATCGGGGCACGATGCAGTGCGCTATGAGTGGAAAGCTGGGACGTATGTACCGGAGAACATCATCTTTTGCGTGGATGTCGATCGAGAAGCGGATGTGGAGATGAAATCGGGCGGAGGGAAACTGCAGGGGGCGGCTCTGCATCGAATGGATGCCGTGAAACAGGCCTTGCTGCTGTTTGTGCACTCGAAGTTGACCATGAACCCGCATCACCAATTCGCGTTCATGACTCTGGACCGAGGTGCTTCATGGTACCAACGGGAGTACACGAACAATCTGGACATCATCAATGCCACCATTCGAAATTTCAGCTCGCAGGGCTCGTATCCGCAATTCGACCTTTCTTCGCTTCTGCAGGTGGGCGTGAGTGAGGCAAGGGTGGCCCAAACCCAAGGCCGAAGTCTGCGAGTGGTCCTCGTTTATTGCCGCTCGTCCGTCGTGCCCGAATTTCAAGAGCAATTGATGGAACAGCAGAATTTCACACTGGATGCATTGTACATGCACGATAAGCCGGGCCCCAATAATTGTCCGCAGAAAGTATACGACGCTTTGGTGGATGTTCTTGAGCACGTGAGCCATCACGAGGGTTACATTTTCGAGAGCAGCAGTGGCAGCGCAAGGACACTCTTTAGGCACATTTGCCTGCTGCTTGCTCACCCTCAGCAACGCGTTGGTCAAGACGACTTTGCAAATGCTGTGAAAGATTTTGCTCTACTCAAACCTCCGACTGAGCCAAGACCACAAGAGGAGACCAGCAATTCCGGAGGTCATAGCAACTCAAGCCGTGGCTAAATTTGCTTTTTAAATTTCACTAACTCCAAATAAATTAAAATTCTGTCGTTTTCTTTTCTCTTGTGTCCATAGTGCAACTCTAGTTCTGTTTGTTGTAATTATACACGTCACTCTGTGGTGATTTCTATCCTTTCTTTCGCATTGACTTCTTCTCAATTTCCACTCTCTTGTGCACAATGTGCCAACTCGCTTTCTGGCGGGGGCTCTGAACAAACTCTGCTTGATTCAAAGACTGAATGTGGGTATGAGTGCATGTATGACAGACCAGATCGATAATGCAGTAGACGAGATTTTACCTCACTTTGCTCCTCGTTTTCGTGGAATTACTAAATGTTTAACACCGTCCTTCGTTTTCAATTAAGCCCGCTTTGGGCCGGGAACGACCGAAGAGTGATCATTCCACAGGCCGTGATCTTGGACCTCCAGTTCTGAATAGGTTTGGTGTACATATTTCATACCAAAAATTTGTATGTAGATCTGCCATATAGTGTTTCCTTGGACTTGGTGTTGACTAAGAGAAGCCTGAGTTGGACGAAGTTTACCAAGGCCGACAATTGGTCCTCTACTCTTGATGAAGCTGTCCTGTGTGCTTGCTCCGGTTTTTTCCATACGGGCTCTGTGGAGTCTATGAACATATGCTGCCTCCCTGTTTCAATTCTCTATGTCAGCACTGGTATTGAACTCGGTATCAAACTTAGGAATCTTCAACACTCTGGTGATAGCTCTTGAAATCCTCCCAGGTCCATTTAGGGATTGCATCATACTGTAAGGAGCTAGAAACCTAGAGGCATACGACAAGATCGGACTAAAACCACGAACTGTGAATGTGTACGTCATGTTGTGAGAAGGACATTTCTTTTGATCTCATTGCCAGTGCATCACGAGCTCGAAAGACAGCACCGTGGCAACAGGTTCAGTGTCTCCGTTTGCGTAAAAAAGAGCTGTCCTTTATGCATTAGACAAGCTCCTCTTGCAGATTGCAAATTTTACTCCACAACCATCTCATATAGTACCCAGCTCTGCGCGTGCATTCGGGCATCTCCTAGTCTTGTGTGCTGGATGAGTCTGTAACTACTGCAAGTTTCACTTACGTCCAATCTGTGACCAGAATCCAACCGGAGGTTGTCCTATCGCTTGAAGAAAATTACAATTTTCCCTGAGATTGCATGTGTTACTTGTTCACCTGAGTAAATAGATTCTCATCAGAACGTGCCTAGTTTGAAAACCATAGATCCTGCACTCTAGTTGGAGGCTGCTGGGAATCAAATGCGAATCAGCAAAGTTGCTACCAATATGCTGGATGTACGTCACTCTTCGACCACAATCTGTTGTGAGGACAGTTTAATGGACAAGATGCAAGCCTGATAGTTACTGTTGTAAGCCATTAACTCTCGAGGTCACATCTTCCCTCACTGCACTTGTGCGTACGCAGCCAGCTGCAAACTTTTGACGAGCATGTGTTGGCTAGGATTCTACTCGTACGTCTAAACACTCCATGGATCTTTATGTGCTTTGGGGCATGCGCAGCCACTGTGGGCACATGAAGAACCAGTGTGTTAAGAAATCACGGTGGAGGACTTGAATCGGCCTCTTGATCAAAACTGAGGAGAGACACCCTGTCAAAAGCTCGAGCGGTCGTGGCTGCACAGCCTCGACATCCGAACGTGTTATGGAGGGCTCTATTCGAGTCTTTGGGCTCGCAGACTGTTGATCTGCGTATGATTCTGGGACAATGCGCATTCCCTGTGGAGCAGTGTGGGCATCCACGAAAGAACCTTGTTCACAATCATCGCAAGGCATTTGAATAATCATCGTGATAGAGACTGCCAGAATTACCGGATCAGTGGTAGCTAAACACAGTGAGTTGGTGAGCACCGTCGACTGACCCTCCATGATTCCATGGAACATCTGGGTTTGCTGTTTGGGCACATTAATACTTGGAATCGTGTACTCACTCATGCGATCGCACTCTCCGATCTCATTACATTCTTAAACGTGAGTTCTCATTTCTAAAGAGTGCCTAATTGCCTCATCCCCAACACATTTTCATGACAAAACACTGCAGATATGTGCGAGTACCATATTAATCTTCAACTCAGTTACTCTTCGTATTTGGCAGTAATTGTGAAAAGGAACAGTAAACTTATTAACTCAACTTATCTCGACGTTAAGTACTAATTTACTACCATACTTTGGCAGCAATAAGCCACCTGAAGATCAGGTGATTCCAGTTAATATATCAATTTCAAATGTGAGCCATGAGAGCTGTATATACCGATAGAACACAAGTATGAGTGCAGACCTTGCCAGCTTATTTTATTCGTATACTAATGTGATGTGTTGGACTGCGATGAGTAAAGGTGGAGTTAACATTCTAGCTAAATTTTGAGTTGGTGTGAATTCAGGAGCGAGGATTGTTAACTATGATGTATGATCTTGATGTTGCTTATCTGAGTGCAAAGGGGGTGTTACCGAGCTATGGTTACACTAAGGGAGTCATCAGGCATTACTATTGATGATCAGATCAGAAGATCCAGAACATGATGTCATCAATTATTTCAGCAGAGGATATCACACATGTATGATATCTTCAGTGTACTGCCATATCCATCATGGTGAGGACACTTGGATAGACGTCTCAATGTTTGCAACACTTGAAGCTAAGTTTATCAAACTTACGAACTTATGTTGTTCCTGGGCAACTAACAGGAGGCTGGTGTACCTGAAGCCATCGCACATCAAGATGATCACCGTGAGTCATCCTTACCCTCCCAATGACTAAAGAGAAGCAGCAAACCTGCAGGACTTCAAAGGATCTGAACAATAAGAAGACAATCGTGACTTGATATAAGACGATATCATGACACGAGAGAGCAGCTGAAGGTTAAACTGACCCCGTGGGCATTTGGAAAGTACTGCGATCTTAAAAGTGCTGATCTACGATGGCTGGTAAGTCTTTTCAACCATGTACATGAGAGTATTATCTTGCAGAAGCAGCCTACACATCAAGCTAACAAGTGCAGAAACATCCAGCGAGCTACAGATCTATCAACGACTGCCTGCAGATTTTTACCTCGGTGACGCTTGGACGTTTTGTCCTACAGAACTGGAACTGTACACGTCCTCAGCAATCGGTTTCTTGGACTTCCCCTTCAAGTTCACTGCATAAAAGTGAAAGATAGACATGCTTAGTCACAGTATGGGTACAGTTGAGTATCGAACAGACATGTCCAATGCTCGTGCATGTGCAGCTGATTTCCATGTACAGTAGCACTACGAGCTCAGTCAAGAGGCTAGCTTCCAACAGGGATTGCCAGCCGAGAAATCCAAACGCGGCAAGATTTGTAGATCTCGCCACGTTATCACTGGAAACAATCAATACCCGCAAATGAAGATCGTATCCAAGCAGGTAGTACGGCCAGTCGTACGAGGCTGGAATGGATAAGGGAAAGGCCACTGAATGCTACAATGGGAGGACTGCTCGAACAACAGTCAGCTTTCAGAGCAGCTCGACTTAACAACAGGGACAGTTGTGATGTCGATCGGTGTGGACTGAGACTCGCGTACCTCGATCACTTCGTTCTGGCCGAGGTCAATGCCCGAACAGTGGGAAGACAATTTCGGAATCCGACAGTTGATCGAACGCCTCTGTTGCCAACTGTGCGCCTGTCACGACTCTGATCATCATCTGCAGAGCCCGATGAGCCGAGTGTGCAGGGTGTCAAAGTATGTCAACACTGTCTCGGTGGCGCAGATGGTGGACCCCGCCGCTGCCGACCAACCCCTGACGACAGCGAGCTCTGTTGCTGAGACGTATCGATGAAACAAAGGTGTCCAGTGTGCAAACATCCACATCGCCTGCTCCGATCTCGATCGTCCCCAGTAAAGTGCAGTGCTGGGCATACTTGACAGGATGCCCGAATTTCACAGAGGACGCTTCTTCCGTCGTGATCGTCGTTGGGGAAATGAGTCCAGATCCAGATGCATTTCCGGAGACCGATCCATAATTCACGAACGACGCTGAACAGGGAGAGTGTTTCGGGTATGAGTGGGGAAGCAAGAGTAAAGAACTTCGGCTGTCCTTGCAGAGTCGTCTGCGGGATCGACGCATAGTGGAACTCTTTCTCGCACGGGTGGCACAACATCCATGATCCACTGGCAAACCGCACTGCAAAATCACGTTCAGGAACTACTTCCCAGTGACGGTAAGGCAAAGAATGTCTAGTGATCGCGGTGGAGGCTTACTTGGGTATGCGAGCTTCTGGATGGCCTGCGGCTGGCAACTACACCATCGGATGTAACTGGAGAGAAGAATGAGTGGCGCTAGCCTTCGTCGGATGAAACTATGTCGAAGTGCCTATACTTCGAATTTCAAGTCTATACGATTTCAAGCTCTCTAATCTCTAAAGTAATGTACAAGGTCGAGCAGGAACTCCTCGACCTCTCACACTCCGTAGACACATCTTGATATGAAGAGGTGAGTGAGGTCCAAGCTTGTAACGCATATGAGACGAATTACGACCTGTAGATGGGACATTTTGCATCGTACAATGACAGCACTAAATCCATGCATCGATAAAGTCCCTCGTTAGTACCAATTCAGAACAATTGCAGTCACTCTGGCATCTTTCGAGCTCATCCATGGATACTGTCAGTAAATTCGCGCCAAGAGTGAATGAATCAAGATCAGCTGCTACTCAGAGCACACATGAAAATCTCAGAGGCCAGTATTTGTATTTCATACTATAAGTGCTCTCAGTCTGCCTTGGCACAAGAGCTGGAGTTCAGATTCGAATTCTAGGTGACAATGAGACTTGCACAACAAGCAATCGTTGCTCTCTTTTCTCCATGATGACGGTGGCATAATTTTGCTACGTTAACCTCTACCGCCTCGAACATCTCGATTTAGATGTAAAGTCTTCTAAGGCTCTGTATTCTCCCATTTTCACAGGCAACAATTGCTTCTTGATCTCCTCGTTTAGAGCGGTAACACGTCTCCTCCGTGCAAACCTTCATGCGCCACCTGATTCTACCCGAATCAAACAAGCTCTCTCTCGCTCACAATAACTAAGACTTTCATGGCAGCGACGGTCTTTCCATGCGAATATTTTTCCGATTCTTCTTGTCACTGGCTCTCATCGTGCATCGTGCTGTGAATGGCCCTCAACTCGACCCCACTTCCGCCATCGCGTGCACAAATACACAGCTGCAAATCTGATTCAATCCCGTCTTCGACCAGTGACAATCTTCCCGCAGGACCAAGTGTGTAGAATTTTCTTCCGTCAAACCTGTGCGATATTCCTGGTGGCGTCTCTCGCTCCATCTAATCTTCGCACTCCACCATTAGATTCTTGACTCGACTCTCTTCAGTAGCACAGACGACGAATTTCCACTTCCTTCCTCGTACACTTCCGCTGCCGACTGCCTTCAAGGTGCTTCAAAGTTCACCCACGTCGGTGTTTCCACAGAGAAGCTTTCACTTGAATCGGATCTCCCCCTCGCCTGGCAGGTGCTTTCTTCTTGTTGAATTTCAAGCTGGGACGGACCTACAATGTCATAAGAATTTTCTCAAGTAATCCGACGGCGCACAGATTCGGCAGCTCTCCACGAACTCCGAACGATGTGACCGACTTCCGACATGCCTAACTTTCGTGAGTCCCACAAAAAACATCCTCCATTACTTCTCCGCTTCCCCCCAAAGCTTTCGAACTTCACCGCAGCTTCACGCCCATATCCACTTCTCGTGTCTGCTTCCGAGGATATATATCTCCTACACCGCCTTGTCGTCAAATTCTGATGGCCGCCATGTCACGGTACAAGGAGGAGCCTTGGCAGCAGATTCTAGTGGCGAAGCACGCAGGGAGGCCATGAGACGCCCAACCCTGCGAGTTCCCAAGATCATGAACGCCGTCGAACAACAGCAGCACCCTGCGTCCATGCAGTGTGCTCGAAAGCAGCAGGAAGCAATTCACCTCCGCACTCGACCTGTGCGCAAAGCTGACTGCGTCCCGAGTGGGATCGCCTCAACCCGAGCGGCGCACGGGCTCAATTTCTCATGAAATTTGATTTTTTTTTGGGGACCCGAAGCCTAAATGGCTCAGAAAAACAGACTGCAATCCGGACTCTGACAAACTGAGAGCTACGGAAATTTTACGAGCTCTTGAAATGTACAGTGAGCCATTTGTGCAACCATATATTTCAAGTCAAACAATAGGCGACTCCTCCATCGTTGCAACTACAGCAGCTATCGAACGCTTAGACAATGACTGCCCGAGGCAAAGATTTACTTTCCTGCTCCGACGGTAGGGCGAACCGAGGGCACAGAAATATGCCGGTGCCATGATATCCTCGAGGAGAGGATTGGCGGCATCATTGATTCCCCACGATCTCATGTTGCAGTACTAGTAGTTCATACATCAAGAGTGAGGCAACATCGTCACCAGATTCACCACTGGGTGCGGCGCCAAAATTTGGAACCGAGGAGAGTCGCCGAAATTCGCCGGAGTCTTGTCGACGCCTGCGGGCGACTCCGTCACATCCTCAGCCCTGCTCGCAAGAGGCGATGGACACACCGACAGCTCGAGCTGGAGAGCCTGCGCATGGAATTTCGCTAGTCGAACATCAAATTCAAAGGCGTCGGAACTCTCCATGCCGCAGAACAGCCGGTCAGGTCACGTGGTAGGGGCTGGAGTCTCCATTATGCAGAGCTTCGGCGATCACGGCCGCAACGTAGACGCAGGTGCGCACCCAGAGATGCAATCGCTTGAACACCGCATCGACGAACTCGAGCATAATTGGCAGGCCCATAATTTCTCCACTCCTCTGCGTCTCCCGGGCGCGCAGCAAAGGCATCAACATGTGGAATAAGCCTCGGAGCTCGCGGGTCCTCGGGCTTTTGACAGCAAGCTCCTCGTCCCAGCGCGAGCTCGTGATCGCCGAGCAGCAGAGCGAGAGAGAGCGAGAGCGAGGTCGTCGAATGCGGGACGACAAATTGCAGCTGGCGCGATTTCTCCGTCCGCCTTCGTTATCTCGCTCGCTCACCGTCGCAGCGATCAAGCGCGACGCGGAGTCCGTCTCTCGCCCCTGACTGCTGCTGCTCCCGCTCGCCTGCTGCTCCCGCTTGCCTGCCACCGGCTCCTCTCAGCGGCCCGCGCCCTTTTGAGTCCCGTCGCCCCGCGGCCCGCGCTGCTTCCCAGGCCGGAGGACTCCGCAGAAGATCCCGGTCCCGCCCCCGTCCACCTGCACCTCCACAGCTCGGGATCCAAGATCCACGCACAGTGCCGACTCTACTGTACTCGGTGCGGGCGGGCGACGGGCGACTGGCGGGACCCCGGTCAGCTGTTCCCTCCGTTCCCTTTCGCCGGTCCGTGATTCACTGCCGCCGGTGGCCCGCGAGGTGCGCTGGCCGGTAATCCCTGCACCGCGACACGCACCACGGATGCGCGCGTGCCCTCGCGCCGTGGTCCAAACGGCGACGGTTGGATATGTGGCGGTCGTCGGGATAAGCCGTTAGATAGCAGGTGGCACGCGCTCGTAAGACGGAAACTTGGCCGGTGGGAGATGTGTCCGAGATATGGTATGCTATGGACTGCCGGTCGTCGTCTTCTCTCGAACCGGATAACTCAAAAACCCGGCGGCGTCGTCAGACTCGGATAAGCCTGCGGAGCCACTCTGCAGTCGGGGGCGCCCCCTATGTGCTGGCCCATGGCCGCCGTGGCCGACTACGGCCAACGCTTCCCAACCATGTGGATGCCAGCTCGCTCGCCCTCGCAGTCGCTCGCTTTCTCCATCGTACCCGAAGTTGGGGATGAGCAAACTAGATCCAACCCCATGACGGGCTGGAGGGCGTGCATGGTCACGTGGACGCCGGTCGTTCCGGTGAAGTTCCTAATAAGTACTTCTGTTGTACAACAGCAGTACCTTCTGCGCATTTGAGATCGCTGGGTGATGTAAATGCAAAATTTGCAACATGAAAAAACAAAATGGGAAGAACAATCAATTTCGCAGGAATTTCCATATACCTTAAACGCAAATGGACTCGACATCGGGTCGGCTTTCATGAAGTTCATCGTGTGCTTGCAGGAGGGTGACAATTTCGGAGTCAATTATTAGAGAAGAACTATTAAGGTTTTAGATAATCAAAAAAGTGAGCCTGGACGTCTTTTGAAGGTGAGCCTAAAAATGACCATAACCTCTAAAACCACCCTTCATCTGTATTAAACGAAAACTGCTTAAACCTACTGCCAGCCTGTGAAATTTGAAGCTCTCAAATCGATTGAAACAAAATTCGGCTAAAAAATCATGTGATAACATGACATTTGCAGAAATGCAAAATTGGTGAGATTTATAAGTACAGAGTTTAACTTCCCGCAATAGTGACACATAATGGTGCTAGGTTTACACGTCACTATTGAGAGGTGATTGGGTAGCATTTAGTGAATCATATAGAATTATTTTTATTGCATGTTGAGCAGATTTGCTATAGTATCATTCTTGGCGATTTATCTTCAAATTCAGATATTGTATTTTTTTTAGAAAATGTAACGTTAGGTCGCCAAGGTAAAGCAGAGTTATAAATTGTAGAAAGTGATCAAGCAGAGCTAAGAAAATTTGTAGAGTGATTTGTGTATTTTCTCATCTGTTAAATGGTTGAAACAACAAAATGAAAATAACATAACACAAATAAAAATGGACAGTGTTGTATGTTGGGATTATATGGACAAATAAATTTTAATCAATTGAGTTTACAAAACCAACAATTCCGTTTTCTCTCCCGTTTCTCGAAGAACAATGTGTGGAAAAGCACATACATGAAGGGCAAGCTAGTGCAAGGAAGGCCTGGGCAGCGAGGGGAGTTAACGCAAGGTACGTTGTTCTACACCGTGTTAGCGGCGAACAAGATGCGAAGTCAATGGTTAGGAGTTTGATTGGAATAAGAGCAATAAAGAATCAAATTCAAATTTTTTTTCAAATTACAATGAAAACCGTCATTATTAGATAGTATTATGTCACTATTGTCAATAGAGACATTACAATTCTTATTAGATAAATTTACAAGCTAAAACCTAATGGTTCTTGAGCTCTATTTCACTAATAAGAGATGACACTATTCAGGGGTTAAACTTTGTATAATAGAGTTTTTATGGGGAGAGTAAAACAAATCTCATCCGATTTTGAGGCGGTGAGATGGCTCCAAAGCAAGCCAGTCCAGTCCATTCCATTCCATCCTTTGTAAAATGGAGCTTTATTCATAAGAATCGTTCATTCGGTTCCAGGCCAAAAATTATCGACAGATCACATCAAAGGAAGAGTACTTTGAGATCAAAACATCTGCCTGAAACTGGCGGGTTGCCTCGTACGAGATAAGAACTCGTAAGGGAACCGGTCACAGCCCCCGACCGAACTGCTGCGTGCCGGTGAGGAAACCGATGACGAGATTCCGAGCTTCTGGGGGCCAAGCAAGCTACGGAGTCCTCGGATTTGCCTCCTGTCTTCGTCTACGTGGTCCCGATCCCAACCACGACTCGGGTCGATGGAGCCCTCCTCGCTCCAAGAGGCAAGGTCCGGATTTCCCGTGCAGAAGAAGAGGAGGATCCCTTGTCTTCGGCTTGGTCTAAAGAAAGCACGAAGGACGGGGGTTCCAACGACCTGCGCCGAGCACCGGGCCTCGGGTCCACGTGGCGAGCCGGAACTGGATCCTCGACCATCTGATTCTCGACAGAGCCCGGATCTGCCTCTCTACCGGCTTCTAGCGCCCTACTCTCACACCGGCCTAAGGCGATGCGATGCGGCTGCGGATCGCATACTCGTCGATCAGAAAAGCGATCATGGTGCCAGAGATCGGAACTTCAATCATGCAAGTGTTTACAGTTATGAAAGTCCGAACCGGAATCACGAGCGGAATCACAATTAATGGCAAGGTCTTCTTCACCAGGTGACCTTCGCCAGACGGAACAGAAGCTTCCTGTCAGAGGCACGAAAGTGAAAGCACGGACGACGACGACGACGGAGGTCGACAGGGACATGGTTCGGGGCGAAGTGGACGATGACTTGGAGACCGGCTGCGGGGCCGAGGACGTACGACAGTACGACCGAGTGCGGGAATCGGACGATGCGCAAGGCTAGAAAATGTGAGCCCTGTGGAATCGGGGTTGAACTGTATCACATGATTCAACCGGCCCCTGATTCCTGAATCTCCTGGGCACCCGAGCATATGCAAGGATATCCTTCGGCTTCGAGGTTCACGAACTCGATTAATCAAATCGAATGCCTGTCGACTGTGCCCGGAAGCGTAGAATATCCCGGACGTGGACACAATCCGTGTGTGAATGTCGGGTGCCCGGTTTGGGGGTGGGAATGGCACAGATGCAGTCTCCTTGAAAGCGGACACAGCAGAACATTAAGTGTAAGCGGTGCCTCGAGAAAGGGTCGTCAGTGAAGTGGAACCACTGGGCGGATCGGCATAATCCTGAGGATAAACTCCTCGCGTCGAATCATCTCACAGTGCGAGGTCACATTCTTCGAGTTCGTGTGTAACTCGTCGTAAGCACTCCCGTTTGTGCTCGTCAACAGTGGGTGCCGTTAGGCTCTCCCCATGCAGCCATTCCCGACTCAGCCGATCTCTCAGCCCATGCCGAACTGATGCGCCAAACCCCGAGAAAACAAGAAAAGAATTCAGAGTGAAGTGGATCGTCGTAAGCCTGGACTCTTCGCTTGCAGGAATTTGGATCACACTCAAAGAATATTACCTGCTTCGAATATCTCTCGTAAAATATTGGCTCCGAGACACTGTTGTGGCCTCCTTCGAAAATTATGCTGTCTAGGGTAGTGAGTTTCCAATCGCCCCATAGTCGCTTTTGGAAAAGAAAAAAAAGTTGAATCCGAGCTCAACTTCTTGAATATTACGAGCACAGATGCTCTTTGCTCCCGAAGTTTTTCTTGAAATTCGTTACTCCCACAAATAGATTCCCACAGAGAGGCCAGTGCATTCTACATCTCTCTCTCTCTCGCTCTCTTTCTGTGCCCGTGATACTGGGTGCATGCATGACCATGCTCTGTCTGGCCACTTCTGCTAAGTGGAGACAGTCGACTGCTGGTAAAGTTCTTGCTACACTGTGCAAACCTTAAATATTAGGGTTCAATTTGTCGAGGAATTTAGGAATGCTGTTCGGGCCGCTCAGTCGTCATCTGATTAAATTTGCGTACATGGTTAATGAAAGGATTACGAAGTCGACAGGAAATTATTACTACGTTTGCAAGGAGCAGCTGGATCACCACCGCCGAGGCCTCGTGAGAACTGTGATCAATCAAATCCTTCGTGACTTTGATCACACAACCGGCCGCGGATATTTCCGTGTGGCGAAACCCCTCGAACACTGCGTTCATGCCCTTTTCCATTTGATCACAACTTTGGCGACACTTTTCTGTGGCCAGAAACTTTCTTGCCCTGCATGTGAACTACCATGCGCAAAATTTGTGATTCAAGGTGAACCCCGGTTTCGGGCCGATCGATGGAAGCCTCCAGTGTCTTCGATAGAGGACGGACCAAGAAATCTGCGCAAAAAGGATGGGAAGTATAAACTATGGAACATCTTGGGAACAGGAGGACCCAATACGTTATGTAGCAGAAGGGATGGGAGGTATAAACCCTGGAGTATCAGGGTTTATACCTTGGACATGCTAGGGCGGTATCTGTCATGACCAGAATTTCGACATACTGTCCACTGGTAGACTGTTTGCAGTTGAAGCAAACGACTCGAGGATGTGATGCTTTTGGCAGAGTGAGTCCAGATGCAGAGAACTTCGTGGCTCTGAATCACGGATACCCGAATTTCCGTGAGCAAAAGCGCAATTATTTAATCCGCTCATTATTGCATAACGAGTCAAAAGGTTATGCCTTCAGGTCAAATCTCCGAATCGCTTTTCTTTCAGCCGACGCAGTAACGCTCTCTTTCTCGACCATCGAAAAGTGTCCGAGCGCGTTTTGTCACGCCACTCTTCGGATCCCGCCCCGCCCCGCCCCGACCTCGTGCTCGGCCTAGTCCGGCCATCGACTCGCTTGACCGACCGAGAATTGGCCTGCTGCGCACAACCGACGCACGAATGCGACAAGGACAGAATTCACATTACGCCA